AGGAAAATTCTATTTAAAATGCATAAATTGCGTTATGAGAGTCGGGTTTAGTTTGTTAAAGAGTGCAGGAGTATATGGAGCATCCATCCTTCCTTCCTACTCCAGCAGCAACCCTGATCCTTGATTTAGTTCCACTACTCAGCTTACTGAATAATTATTATATTATGGTTAATAGTCTTTAAAAAATATTAAATATCAAAATTAGGGTTTGATTGGTTGAGTGGGGGGGGGGGGGATAATTTAAAACACTTTATTGGTTCACAGTCTTCTTTATTTTTGCAAGCACAGTAAACGGCTGTTGTAGGAATAATTACAACGTTTAACTTCTTTAGCGTTTAATTCTAAACTAAATAATAAACTAAAATAAAATAATTTCCTAGAGTTTAATAATTGATAGAGAACCAGAGATATTCCATCCTTCTCATCCTCATTGTACCTAAACATAGGGATAAATTAGTTTCGTCAAATACATGTTTAAAGTTTATATAATAACTCGTCAAGGTTATAATGCAAGGAAAGTTATTTCAGAATCAATATATCCATGAAATATTCTGGTCATAGGAAATCAAAATTTAATGCTTTTAACCTCCTCAGATACTAAACTGCTGCGTTTCAATATGTACGCAGCAACTGTAATTAACTTTCCTAGCATTATAACCTTGGTTATATCATTTGGTAACAATTTCGAAACAGAGTCGTACCTACTCAGGGGTGTTATGGGGTTTCGCCCCCCCCCCTCCTGGATCAGTAAAATCTATGGATTCAAGGGGGTTTTCAGAATATTTCAATGAAATATTCTGGTCATAGGAAACTATTATGTGAATTATCAAAATTTACTGCTTTTAACCTCCTGGGATACAAAACGAACACCGATGCATATATTCTTGTTCACAAATTTCCTCCAGAGAGAACTGGTTTTAATATGCACGCAGAGTATACGCAACTGCAATTAACTTTCCTTGCATTATGACCTTGTTCCTCGTCATATATTTGGCTCTTAATGTTTCTTTAATCTTTTATAGCAACAATTTATTTAATATTGCGGATTTTTTCTGTTTCTCAATGTAGATTTCCAAATTTTTTATTTTGATAAATCAAAATTTTGTTGAGGCACAGTTTTGAATTTTAGACCGGTGTCGGGCATCAATTCATCTGCCCTTAAAGTTTTCACAATTGCAACGCAATTTTAAACATCAAAAGTCGTATCAAAACATTCAAAATTATTATTTTACATAAATAAACGCACATTTAGTTATAACATGCATTAATGAAGGGGCCAAAAAAGTTATTTCCTTTCAAATGTCGTTTTCCTTTTCAAAATATCAAACAATCAATATTTATTCATGACAAAGATCATTTTTAATGTGTTTTCTAATCTAAATATATCAATAAACATTGCAAAGTGTCTAAAATTGCGTTGAAATGGTTATAACAATAGAGGGTGGAGAACTGATGCACAACACCGGCCATAAACCTAAATGTGACTTTTTGAACACAAATCTACTGTTTTTTGAATTAAAATTGTGTTTAAGACGTTATATTTTAAGGTTTTTGGTACCCACTCCCCTTGTGCTAAAATCTGTACCTGGAGTTAGCTCTGCTGTATTCACAAACCACTAGATCCAGGCATTCTGATGAGGAAAGTTCAGTGCACTCAACTATTTTACAAAAACAAAACTTGTTCAAAAGAACTAAAAGACTACAAAAAGGAAGTTTTCAAATATTTGAATTAATTTTTACTGATTTAAACTTTTTTTACTATCCGATTTCTCTTAATTTGTAAATAATGTTTCAACTTTCAAATTTTTCTTTAAAAAAGGAATTGAGTTTTTGCCACAAATCCCAATTTTGTAATACCTAAATCTCAACAACCAGATGATGAAAACATTTCATATTTCAAACTTACATTGTTTGATCCACTAGAATTCATAGTTTGAAATATCTACGGTCTACGATATTTGGTTTTAAAGAAATTGGGATTTAAAAATCCGAGTTTGTGGCAAAGACTCAATTCCTTTATATATATTTTTTGTTTTAGTATAAAGTTTTTCCGGGAGATATTTTTACTTTTTAGATACAACAATTTAAACAGTACTTTTCATTATCACTCAGACGGAAAATGTCAAATATTTTTTCCAAATATATTAAATTATTATTAATTTTAGTATTTTATCATAAAATGTTAAAATCCTGTTTAAAAATAATTCTACATTTTTTCATAAAGTTTAATTTTTTCCTATTTTTGCCATGAGCTCATCCCTGACTTCTGCGTGGTTAAGGCCTGGAATAGAATTCAGAAACTTGTTGAATTTTTCAATATCTTCCAAAGGTTTCAATTCTTCTGAACTCAGGACAGACCTTTTCTATAGCAACAATTTATTTAATATTGCGGATTTTTTCTGTTTCTCAATGTAGATTTCCNACAGTACAGTACAGTACAGTACAGTACAGTACAGTACAGAACAGAACAGTACAGTACAGCACAGCACACAGCTGAATGGGAGACCTATCATCATAAGAATATAGATATTGTTATTGTATCCGTTCTTTTTGTTACTGTCGATTTCGGTTTATGTAACTCCTTGGTTGAAAGGTACCATTGTTCAAAATGATGTAGATATATTTTTTTTCTGTTTGAAAACCAATAATTTTCAATTGCGGTTTCTCTATAAAATTTACTTGTGGAATTACTTAGCAGAAACAAAGAAGGAAATCGACTGGCACAATGTCGGTTGTCTGTTGTAATGAGATATATGTAAAGGCCTTTTTATCAAGTCTGATAGATAAGGTAAGATAATATCATAATACCATATCATAAGGAAATTATTACACGGTCAGAGCGTAAAAGAATGTATCTTCTTACACGCTCCAAGCATTAAAGAATGGAAATTATTTCACTAGTTGAAGAATATTCATTCTTACACGCTCCTTATATTGATTGATCTTTTCAACATAGATCAATATTTACTTAATTATTTTGTATTCGTTAAAGAATACATCAAGATTATTTATCTCGTTTAAGAATTTCCATTATTACATTTTTCTACTTAAAATCATAATCAAATATAAATATTTATTGCACTGACCCTATTTAAAAGTAAGCAGTTTTATTAAAAAAAACATGCTGCAAACACTTTTAAAATTGCTATGCACCCTTTCTCATTTCAGCCTAAACGCGCGTGCGTGGGTATAATCGAATAAAAATGTAATCATTTTAACCTTTAATGTTAGGAATGGAATTATTTAACCTAGATTTCTTTTAAAGATTAAACACTCTTTCAATACGTTCATAATTTATACTAAAGATTTGATTTAAATATAATAAAAAAGAAGTATTCCCACTTTTCGATTCTATCTTACAGGGTTAGTCAAAGAATTAGACTTTGATTACAACCTAGACGTGTTAAGTAACGATCTGAAGGTGGAATTTGGTCTTCTGAATAGAATATAATTTATAGTTTCATAGAATTCAAGAAATACTGCACTGTCGTCTCTGAAGTAGCTCATCCTTTGTGGATAACAGAGTGAAGGCTCTCTACAGGTGTCCAGTAGAAATATCAAAATATCTCTAAAGGTTGTAATATTATTCATTAGCTTAAAATAACAACGCCTGAAGGAAATAAAACTAATATTTTCAAACTTCCACGTGATAGGATTTTCTCAAAGGCAAAGATCATGCGCCGCGCGCAGCGCTACGCATATTGTGAACTTTTGCATAAAACATCTACTGGATGGAACAAAAAGAAATAACGTTAACGGAAAATTAAAAAACTCTTCTTATGAAGCTTTAAGGTTGGTTACGCAACAATCACTTTGGCGACAGCTTCCCTCAATCTTCCTGCCTATCCTAGGATTTAGTGAAATATCATATATTCTTAGATCTGTCAAATTGCAGTTTTTAAAATTTTCCGTTCTATGCATTCAGGAGCATACTCAAGAATTTTTCAAGGGGGGGGGGGGCCGAAACCCCATAACCCCCCTGAGTAAGTACGCCTCTGTTTCGACATTGTGACCAAATGATATAACCAAGGTTATAATGCAAGGAAAGTTAATTGCAGTTGCGTATACTCTGCGTACATATTGAAACCAGTTCTCTCTGGGCGGAATTTGTAAACAAGAATATATGCATAGTGTTCGTTTAGTATCCGAGGAGGTTAAAAGCATTAAATTTTGATAATTTTGATAATTCACATAATAGTTTCCTATGACCAGAATATTTCATTGATTTTTTTTATGTGAAAGATGGATCCTATGTCAGGCTTCGACATCCGTCTTGTGTTTACATCCCAGAGACAGTACACTTCAGTGTCTTACTAAGAAGTGTCTTACTATAAAATGTTCTTTCTTTCATATTCATACTTTGTTTATATGTCTTATTGTTAGTCAGTTTCTTTAGATCCAACGTAAAAACGGCTGAACCGATCAAGTTTAAAATCCACGAGAAATATTCACTTAAAAAAATCCGTTTTTTTTAACAAAGAGAAGATGTTCACAAATAGAGCCACAATTAAAAGTTTAAAAAGCTGATGGCCGCGAAGCACCCTGAAAGCCTGTAGTTTATAAAAAAATGCACAGATGGTAAATCTCAATTGAGAACTTTTTAAGGTTAAAATGCAGAGAAATGCCTTAAGGAAGTGTTTATTTAGAAATCAGCCTTTATGGATATATCAAAATTGGCTTCATTATTTCATTAATTTATCACTTTAATTAATAGTTTAAGCTAAAGGTGTTTGTAGCGTGCTGCTACTAATAAGCTATAATTTAGTTTGACAAATGATAAAAAAAACCTTCTGAATATACAATGTACAATAAATAATATAATACAACAATCACGACTTCCCGGTATATATTTTTTCTTAACAAAACCATTTTCAACCCCAACTCCTTCTCAAAAATGATTTTCCCCTTTAAGCTAATTTTTTATTTATTTTTTTTGCGTATTGAACTTAAATTTCTGGGAAAAAAGTTTCACATTTTTTTCTCTCTATCCAAAGGGTTATCTAATTTAAATCTTTTGTGTTCCTAAGTGTAGTGAGTGTTAGGAAATGTTGAGGCATGTTCTGAGTGAAGAAGGTTGAAGCGTAGAGAAGAGCTACACCTAAACAAATCAAATATTTTCTTTAAAAAATCATTTGAAAATAATTCTATTTGAATGCTTGAATTCAATGTTTATTATTATATGTATATTTCAAAATCAATGAAAACTATAACTTAGATTTAAAAAAAACTTTACAAGTATGATTATTCAATTATTACTATTTCATCATTATGAAAACTTTTCTATAGTATTTTTTCTATAATTTGCTTGAAACGTCCTTAACTTTTCCCCTAAAAAAATAGTGGAATACTTACTGATAAGAGGTGTGAATATTATAAGTGGGGCCAAATAGGACTGTGGATCTTTCCTGGGATATCTTGAACCTCTGGTTCTTGATACTCTGTCATCAAACTCTAATCAAATAGATTTATAATACGCAGTTGTACTGAAGTGCAGTGCTACCAAAGAATGATGATACTTCAGAGATGACTGTACGGAATTAATTTACTGACTGTTTCCTTATATTCATGATTTTTTCCCAAATACGCCTCTGCCCCCGCCTCAAGATCGATTTGTGCAAAAAAACGTCCATTTTAACCAATATTGAGAGAGGGTCTAACATCATTCGATCATGCTGAAATTTCTAAGAATTATTGTTTGTCCAAATGCCAAGTTTGAAATCTTAAGTGTTCTAGATATTATCCTATATTATTATTATAGAGCAAATGCTAGCTGAGATTAAGAACTAGAAGAATGGTCTAAATTAACAGTTTTTAGTGTCTAGCCTTTCCAAGACACTCAACACACTTTTGAATGTACACTTGGACACATATACAAGGTTTTAGCAATTTCACCGTTATTCGATTTTGTCAGACACCCCCACAAGAGAGCGAGCTGAAAACGATTATTTTTGGCGGTTTTTTATTACAATTCTTTAGCACAAATCGATTTTAAGCGCTGGTCTAGTGGTATGGTTCAAAGATTAAATTTTTTTCCTGAAACCCCTAGCCCTCCTAACCAGGGGGTTAAATGTTTAAAATTTGTTCTTTCTGAAACGTCCAAATAGGCATATACACTATAGATATGATTATTCGATTATTCTAAATGATTGCTTGAAAATTATTTGATTACTAAGTAATAAATTAGTAATAAATGCAGGTTACTTCCCTTGTTTGGACCATCCACTGCACTTTTTAGTAAAATCTTCAGCTTAGAATTTAATAAAACCTAACTTCTAAGTTCTCCAACAATTTTAATTTGTGGGGCAACCCCCGCCCCCATCCCAACTGGCCTCATAACGATAATGCTGTAATACTATTATACCTGAGAAATGACTTAGTTCTCCACTCTTCTCCTCCTGCTCCTCCTCGTCCTCGTAATATTCGTAATAATCGTCATATCTGTCATATGCAGGCCGAACAGTCTTTCTGTAATCAGTTCTGTAGATCTCTAAACAAAACAGAAATCATCAAATCAGCACTTTACTATGGTAAAACCATTTTGAAAACATTTTGTGAAAAAACCCATTTTGAAAACATTTTGTGAAAAAACTTGATTTGAAAACATTTTGTGAAAAAACATGATTTGAAAACATTTTGTGAAAAAACATGATTTGAAAACATTTTTTGAAAAAAACATGATTTGAAAACATTTTGTGAAAAAAACATGATTTGAAAACATCTTGTGAAAAAACTTGATTTGCAAACATTTTGTTAAAAATCATGATTTGAAAACATTTTGTGAAAAAAAACATGATTTGAAAACATTTTGTGAAACAAACATGATTTGAAAGTATTTTGTTAAAAATCATGATTTGAAAACATTTTGTAAAAAACATGATTTAAAAACATTTTGTTAAAAATCATGATTTGAAAACATTTTGTTAAAAAACTTGATTTGAAAACATTTTGTGAAAAAACATGATTTGAAAACATTTTGTGAAAAAAACATGATTTGAAAACATTTTGTGAAAAAAACATGATTTGAAAACATCTTGTGAAAAAACTTGATTTGAAAACATTTTGTTAAAAATCATGATTTGAAAACATTTTGTGAAAAAAACATGATTTGAAAACATTTTGTGAAAAAAACATGATTTGAAAGTATTTTGTTAAAAAACATTTTGTTAAAAATCATGATTTGAAAACATTTTGTTAAAAACATGATTTAAAAACATTTTGTTAAAAATCATGATTTGAAAACATTTTTTTAAAAAACATGATTTGAAAACATTTTGTGAAAAAACATGATTTGAAAACATTTTGTGAAAAAATGATTTGAAAACATTTTTTTAAAAAACATGATTTGAAAACATTTTGTGAAAAAACATGATTTGAAAACATTTTGTGAAAAAAACATGATTTGAAAACATTTTGTGAAAAAACATGATTTGAAAACATTTTGTGAAAAAAACATGATTTGAAAGTATTTTGTGAAAAAACATGATTGAAAAAGTGTCATGCGTAACCCACAATGATCCTAAGGTTGCAAGGTCTCACTCAAAAATCTTAGAAACTGAAGTTGAAAGAATTAACAGTTCTAAAATTAAAATGCCTAGGGTTTAAAAGAAGCATATCCCAGTTAGTGATGTAAAAGCAAAGGGCAAGGCGTTGCTACACTTTAAAGTCGACCAGTCTTTAAAAGTGATGCAACTTTCCATAGGAGTCTGAATCTATGTGAACCCATTTAACTTTGTTGACAAATTAATGAGTAAAAACCCTAAAAATAATTTCTAAACAAGTTTTTTTCGATAGTCTTCTTTATCTAAATGTTCAGTTTCTTTTGCAAAGAAATTGAGTCTTTGCCACAAGCTCAAATTTGCTAATCCCTAAATCTTCACAGCCTGCATGTTATGTAAACCATTGATATTTCAAACTTATATTATTTGATCTAAAAGAATTCATGTACTGAAATATCTAAGGTTTACGACATTGGGTTGCAAAGATATAGGGATTTAAAAATCAGAGTTTATGGCAAAGACTCAATTCCTTTATAAGGAAATGATATTGAAGTATGGTCTTTAAAAAAAATTGGATTTGTAAGCTGTAAAGGAAAGCTTTAATCCTACTGTAACTCTTAATTCTATCCTTCTCTCCGTTTTAATCCTACTGTAGCTCTTGGTTCTATCCTTCTCTCCGTTTTAATCCTACTGTAGCTCTTGGTTCTATCCTTCTCTCCGTTTTAATTCTACTGTTAACTCTTGGTTCTATCCTTCTCTCTGTTTAAATCCTACTGTAAATCTTGGTTCTATTCTTCTCTCCGTTTTAATCCTACTGTAGCTCTTGGTTCTATCCTTCTCTCCGTTTTAATCCTACCGTAGCTCTTGGTTCTATCCTTCTCTCCGTTTTAACCCTACTGTAACTATTGATTCTATCCTGCTCTCCGTTTTAATCCTACTGTAGCTCTTGGATCTATCCTTCTCTCCGTTTTAATTCTGCTGTTAACTCTTGGATCTATCCTTCTCTCCGTTTTAATCCTACTGTAGCTCTTGGTTCTATCCTTCTCTCCGTTTTAATCCTACTGTAACTCTTGGTTCTATCCTTCTCTCCGTTTTAATCCTACTGTAACTCTTGGTTCTATCCTTCTCTCCGTTTTAATCCTACTGTGACTCTTAATTCTATCCTTCTATTCGTTTTAATTCTACTGTAGCTCAATTGGTCCTATCCTTCTCTACGTTTTAATCCTACTTAAACTCTTGGTTCTATAATCCTTCTCTCTGCTTTAATAATTTCTGTGATTCGCTTTTATTTTAACCATCCGTCCTTCTTTCTATATTATTATTTGATATTTCGTCCAACTCTGGATGATATTGCCTAACCTGGCCTAGTGTACTTTGATCTACTTGTCCATCTTGAGCTTTCATCTTCTTCTCTTGATCTCCATCCTAGTACGGTTTGTATCCCAGCTACACATAGGACCAGGAGAACAACTTGCCTCAGTGTACGGTACATTACACTCTTAACAAGTTTAGAATTTTTTTTTGTGAATTGAAAAATAATACTTTTGCAGTAATAACTATTTTTAACGGAAACTCGTAGTCTTGAAATTTCAAAATTATGAACTGACATTAAGAAGTTTGTCCCGATTTCAAATGATCAGTTATCATCAATTTTCTACTTTGAAATATTGAAGACCAATAACCTTATAAAATAAGAATTCATCGATTCATGCTGTTAGAAAATCTCAATACAAGATTACGTGGATCCCTGAGTCCAAAACTTAAGACAGGGTATCGTTATGAAAACCAGTTTTAAAACCCGGGTATCACGAATGGGGGTAGGCAGTTTTATGAAAATCAATATTTTTGTAATGAAATATTTTTTTTCAGTTTGTTTATAATCTTTATTTTTTTCGAATCTCTTAAATCAAAATCTAAACAAATGTTAGGATCCCAAAAAGGAAACTTGGGAGTTTCGTTCAACGATACTCTTTTAAATTTCGGGCTCTGTGAAAAGTCCCAGGTGTACACTGTAAACTCTACAGAATAACGGTAGTGCAAGGGTTAGTATCAGTATCCTATATTTGACCTAATCAGGCTCAGGTCAAGTTAGAACTGAAGGAGAAACTATGGAATAACTGCCCAAAGGTATACGCTATACACATATACATATACAAACTATATAGATATAAATCATGTCTGAAATATCTAAATGCCTGTATTAAAATATATATATTCAAACATCTAAAATGTATATTTAAACCGAAAAAAGTTTAAAATATTCTATCTGACAGACTGATAACTAACTAACTAACTAGTTAACTAGCTAGCTAACTAACTAACAACTAATAATACCCAACAGCAAATAGCTAATCTTCACCTAATTGCTAGAATTACATAAATATAGTAAACAATATAAAAATAGTTGCAGATTTTTTGCCTGTAACATTATAACTTGTATATATATTTTTAGCAATAAACTGTATCTTATCTTATCTTAGCTTACTAGCTAACTAGCTAACTAACTAACTAACTAACTAACTAACTAACTAACTAACTAACTAACTAACTAACTAACTAACTAACTAACTAACTAACTAACTAACTAACTAACTAACTAACTAACTAACTAACTAACTAACTAACTAACTAACTAACTAACTAACTAACTAACTAACTAACTAACTAACTAACTAACTAACTAACTAACTAACTAATCTATTTGTCCTTGTATTTCTATGTATGTAATTCAACATTAATATATTTGATGTACATTATTTTGGTAATTTTTTCTTTGCTGCAACGGCTGGGGGCGGAAAATATGATGATCACTGAAAACTTTGTTTATCTGCAACTTTACTAACTTTTGACTTGTTAAGAGGTGCCGCAGGATTTTTTATTCCATTGCTGGGGCTAGAATCTGTTCCTTTCCACAGTTGCCCCCCCCCCCAATATTTTCCAAGAGGAGGGATGGGGGGTCGTCGTCCCCCTCACGCATTTTGCCCGGTGGGATGTTCTGCCTTGCCTCTAGCCGCAACTGGCATTATAAAAAAGGAGATAATGAAATATATCATGGAGAAAAAAGTAAATTTGGACAGGGTATTACAGTTCATTTTACGGTAAGCATAAAAATAAAAATATTGCGTGCTAAAAATTAAAAATCTTCTTCCTTCGGTTTAGGTTTGTAAATAATTAAAGTCGACAGAGGACCGTGTATGGCGAAGAAGGGGGCCAATGCGGTCATGACCCCGCAATCCCTGAACCCAGTTGGAATGCAGAACCATGTCCAAAAAATTGTATTATTGATAATTGACTTTTAAAGAAGAAATTTCAAAACGAAAACGTGATGGAATTATTAAATATTTTAATTATCAAATTTTGTCTTCTAGATTTAACAAATAATTTAAACGGAAAGGTTGCAGAATTAAATATAGGTGATGAGTAATAATAATAATAATAATGTAATAATTATAATAATAAATGTATTTCAAACTAAATTGATTATTACATTACATTTTATGATCAATGTATATTTATATAAGTTGTCGAAAAATTAAAATTTGTTACAGTATTTATGTATAGTCTTTCTCTAGTTTGAGGACTAACAAAGTCTAGAGACTGTTTGAAATATGAAGAAACTTTCTTTAACTTTGAGTTAGCCCATTGATTTTTTTGGGCTGCTCCTTTCGTGAAGCCATGAGAGTAAGATAGTTGTGAGGAATGGTTACCGATTCCTTGAGAACAGGGGAACTAAGGCAATAAAAATATTTATGAAATTACAGTATGAGTCTGGAGCGGCAGTCACAGAACAATAATTTACCTATTACGGCAATCAGAACAAGAAACATTTTTATATGAATTCAAATATTCGGCACTTGGATGATTTTTCAGAGAATTTCTATTTCTTTCAGATCTTGGGTTAAGGAATTCCATTTACTGGGTAAAATGAAGGATTGAAGATTGCACAGGGACGATTTTTTTCAAATCTGTAAAGCAATGTTATTTGTTCTCAGAGAATTGGACTTTTTAAACATGCTTTCAAACAGGGGGGAAGTTTATCGAGAAAAAAGTAAAATCTTGCGTATTAGTGTATTTTGTAACTTGTTATTTTGCATTCAATTGCTATTTTTTCTTTTTCTAAATGTGGCGTCAATTTAGAATTTTATATTAAATCATAGATTTTATCGATTACATTTGAAGTAATAATTAAACCATACCCCGAATGTTTGAAATTGAATGTCAAAATAATTATTTGTAAACTACAGGGTGTCCCACGAAGCATGACAGTTTTTAAATAGTTTAGAATGTCTTCTTCCATAATTTGTTAAGTTGTTTAATATCAAAGACAATAATAAAAATATTATATAGAATTCATATTATAGTAAAATTTCAAAGTAAAATATACTTGAGCAAAAGATTTTTCAAACGATATAAACTGCCAACAGCCTTTAATATCTAATACAGGGTATGGAAGACGACATTCAAAACTATTTACCAACTGTCATGTTTCGTAGGACATCCTGTATGTCTCCTTAAATTTTCTTCAATTTACTACCACTAGATAAATTAAAATAAATTCCAGTCATGATTGAGTATCTTTCCTGTTCTGACATGTCGTGTTTGTTTAGTGTTTATTAGATAAATGCAAATGATTCGGTTTAAATAATCAAAATTTCGACAGACATAGATAGATAGATAGATAGATTTCAACATTTTACCAAAATTTTAACTATTGTGCCCGGGAGAAATTATGTTTACTTCTATTACGATGCATTCCTCTCAGAGTCGGCTTATGGGGTGGGACATCACCCCCCTGGAAAACTGAGGGGACGTCCCCCTCCCTGGAAAACTGGGGAGATGCCCTCTGGAAAAATTAAGAGCACCAATGAGAGAGACCAAGCACCCTCTAGACCATAAATTTTAAATTTTTGGAAGTAGAAAAGTTTCTTCTCTGTGTCGCCACTTTTTCACTCTTTTTAAAGATTTTATTTTTAATAAAAATCTAAATCTTGCTTAAACACTTTTCCCACTTTCCACCCCGGCCCCAACTGTTCATGGTTTGAGCATACAATTGAATAAATTCCCTGTAAAAAATCCAAGTAGAGGAATACAAAATTTCGGCGCACTTCCCGAGCAATACTTCATTTCCCCCCTCTGGAAAATATTTTAAGCCTCCCCTGATTATAGAGAAAATTCGTCTAAAATAAGCATTTAAAATTAAAGTCACTTAAGAGGAAGACAAAATTGGTGAGAACAGGAAGCGCTATGGTTAAGCGCGCTCTAAAATCCATTTTTGCGGAAAGACATATGGATGCGGCATGCTTTTCTACCATCTATGAAGGTTCCTAGTCAATGTTTATTTCTTGACTGAACTGGACAAACCCACCCCCTCCCTAAAAATTACTTTTAAGTAAAAATCTTGATTTTTTGAGGGAATTGAATTGTAAATCTTAATTTCTTTAGAGAAATAAGTCGTAAATACCTGATAGAAACCAATAAAAATACAGGGTGTCCAAAAAAACATGGGAATTCAGTGACGAATTCGATATCGTCTTTTCAAATAATTCTTTGATTTAGTGTAGTGATACCTACTGAGAAAGCTGTAATCTGTAAGAGTTTCGTCTGCTATGTTTACATTTTGTTTGTTTATGTTTTGACTGCCTACAGTTGTACTTAGTAAAACAAGAAAATTGCAGTATACAAACAGAGTAAACTTGTCTGTCTTCACTGTTCATCTTGCGGAGACATTATAAACACATCTTTACAGTCTTTTACCCTTTTCATAAAATAAGCTCTAGCAGACATAATAATATTATGGCTTTTGAAATTAGGTATTACAATGCTAATTCATAGCAAAGACGATATCAAATTCGTCACTGAATTCCCATGTTTTTTGGGACACCCTGTATCTAATCTTTACGATTTAAATAATAAAGCTCTTTACTCATATTTATTGGCTTGAATGTCAGCAATAGCCGGCCAAACGGATGGGCTGAATATTGTTAAAGGAACCCTTGCGTACTCCGATTAACAAAGGCTGCACGTGCAAAATAATAAAACTTTTTATTGAAAAAATAGAAATATTTTTTTTCAAAAAGAAAAAAATTTTCTTACAAATATCTTATTTTTATCAATCCGAATTTTTTAATAATTTCATGGGCAACGCAGAGAACTTAAGCTGTATTTAATAAAACTTTCATCTTCTCTTGTCTGGAGAAATTTCTCGAGGTCTTCGCAACGTCCCATCTAAAGTGTAGGCCGTCTATAATAATTATTTACAAATACCTTACAGGGAAGTTAAGTGAATTTTACTTGGGCAATATTGGTCTATGGAACCCGTGGTTAAGTAAATATTATTTTCATCTTGAGATCAAAATGCGCGATTTTTTTCACGAAAACTTTGCAGAGCAGGTCGTTAATTTTAATTGTTTCAAGCGCCAAGGTACAGTTATGTAAAATAACCACCCACTTTTTTACTTAACCAAGGGTTCCCTCGAACAATTTTTCCTACAAAGTATTCCCCTATTTGCTCTGGATGTTTTTTTAAACAAAATTGGTCTAGGAAACCCTTGGTAAAATAAAATCAGTTAACTTCCCTATAAAGTAGTTGTAAATAATTAATTAATACTCTCTGGCAACCAGAACTCATAAATTAAATATCTTTTTATTTTGGGTAGAAATAAATGTCTCAGAAATAATAATAATGCAATTTCATAACAAGTGTTTACACGTGTTTACATTGTACAAGGAATATTATACACGACATTAGGTTTAAATAATATTTATTTTGTACATACCAACAAAAATAAGTCGGTAGACATGGTGTCTGTACACAGTACAATGTAAATAAGTTTCAACAATGTCCAATGTTCATGCTGGGCCTTACGCAATATTTACCAAAAATAAAGATGTGAACTCTCAACCATAAAATATCAATTTAAAATTTTGAGCAGAACTGTTATTTTAAGAAGGTTATAGTTTCAGCATGAATTTCAATTAGTTTTCTTACCATACCACATTTAATATTGAATATTTAATGAATACATTTCAAATTAAAGTGAAAATAATATTTAAAATTTTCAGCTTTTATAATTCAGATTTTCAAAGATTCAAACATGTTAACATTAAAAATGACATAATATTTCGAGGCAATATATCTACTTTATCTATCCGAAGAGGGAGTTCAGTTCAGATCTTAGGTACGGAGAAGGTTGGGATAAGAAGGAGAAGGTTAGGATAAGAACGAAAATGTTGGGATAAGAAGGAGAAGGTTGGGATAAGAAGGAGAAGGTTGGGATAAGAAGGAGAAGGTTGGGATAAGAAGAAGGTTGGGATAAGAAGGAGAAGGTTAGGATAAGAACGAAAAGGCTGGGATAAGAAGGAGAAGGTTGGGATAAGAAGGAGAAGGTTGAGATAAGAAAGAGAGGGTTCAATAAGGAGAAGGTTGGGTAAGAAGATGGAGTTGGAGAAGGTTGGGATAAGAATGAGAAGGTTGGGATAAGAATGAGAAGGTTGAGATAAGAATGAGAGGTTGGGATAAGAAAGAGAAGCTTAGGATAAGAAGGACAGGGTAAAATAAGGAGAAGTTTGGGTAAGAAGATGGAGTTGGAGAAGACTGAGTTGAGGAGATGGAGAAGGTTGATCTATGAAAGATGGTTGTGATAAGGTGAGGATCAGTATGAGATGGGAGTGCGGATCTGCGGAAAATATGAGGGAAGAGATGTTTAGGACGCTGACTAGTGTAAGACGGATAACAGTTAGAGAATGGGATCGAAGTATTTAAAATCTAATATCACATTTGAAAGTTTATAGTCGTGTTGAAGAAATTAGAGGTTCTTAAAAATTGGATACATTCCTAGGTATTTTCAAATGAGGGTAAATTTAGGGATATAAATCTGGATATGTCTATGCAGACACAATAGTTTATAAAAGGCTTCACATAGCAATTATGAAGACATTTTTTAAATTTCTTCAATACGTCAATAGCTTCATAGACTCGGATAAATGTATTAGTGTGTTTTCATAAAACATTTTCGGCAAAAGTCATTAAAGTAAATATCCATTGGATAAAAATGATCAAAAAACCTCAAATTTACCAATACTTTTGGAAGAGCTTTTCATTAAATTCGAATTTAACATACAGTTTCAGACAAAAGAAAACTTAATCTTTTTAGAACGAACTTGAAACTATCTTGAAACTTGTACTACGTTCTCGAATTAATGATTCGACATCAAACCCGTTAGTCAAAATAAAGCACGTAAAGTACATTCTTCAGTTTCATCATAAACCAGAAATTAATGAAAGTCTTGAAAATTAATCTTTTTCTCTTTTCTATGATTGATAACTTTTGTTCCGTTTAAACATTTAAGAGACAACTGCGGTCAGCTGGCCTTGGGGGGATCAGTAGTCAGTGATTAAAAAATCCTTCTTATGCAGTTTCAATTCAATGAATATGCACCGTGCATCACTCAGCACTATAGAAGTACGTATTTAATTGGAATTTCTGTTCCACACTATTAATTGGTCGGTGCTCGGCACACCCAGTATAACATGAACTTTTTTTCAAGTATAATTTGCGTCAAATAACATCATTCATTTGTTTATGAACTAAATAAACTTAGCCAAAAATAAATAGAATAATAGTTCAGTTTTGTAGAAATATAAATTTTGCACCAAATAGATCAATTCTTTCTTTCTGAATCCATTCCTTATAGTCAAATGAATGATCATCAACCTTCTCTTCCAGCCTGAGTACTGAAAGGGACATGATGGCCCAGAATAAGTAACATATCTAGCTTTAACTCGACCAGATCTTTGGATTTAGGCATTTAGCTTGACAAAAATAATTTTTAAAAGGAATTAAATTTAGGTTTACACCAAGGAAATATAAAAAACTGCAAACTTTAAAAGATTCAAAATTTAGGAGATATTTAAGAATATCTGGAGCAGGAGAAGACTGCAATACTGAACCATAAACTGGTTATATAAGAATTAAACCCTGCTCCTCTATGAGAATCAGTTGCCCGCTCATGTTGGATGAGATTCAAATTTTCCACATCATGTTCTCTATAATTATCAAAAACAATGCTTGCCATGCAACAAACATAGTTCATAGCTTGTACCTTTCTTGTAATCTAGTGTACTAGTGTATATACTTTACAGTACAGTGTACGTACACTGTACATTTTTTTTACTGAAGAGCGTCAACTTTATAGTTCTAGTTTGTAGCAGAGGTGTAGCGCTGAACTGCTGCTTTAAGATCCCGTAAGGTTTGTTCCCTGGCAGACTCCAGGTTGCCGTTGTCATCCCACCCCTGGGTTTCTGCCAACCAGGCCTGTAGTTCAGCTAGATGCTCCGGTAGGATATATCTAGTGTGGGGAACCAGACTGGATACAGGACCCTGGAGTCCAACCTTGTACTGGATTACACTCAACCTACGGTAGTTGCAGGCTAGCCGTGCCTGGATATGTTTTAAACTAAGAACTCTGAGATCATCTATCCCTCCCTTTACTTCAAGTTCAGGATTAGATTTAAGACATTCATTGACTGTGTCACTCTCAACTACGATCACTTTAGTGTTAGTATCCTCAAGCTTGTCTGTGATCCAAGATTCAGGATTTGAAACTAATTCTTCCTGTAAACATTCATCTGAGAGATCAATAACTCTATGACCCAGGCCTGACAACCAGCGCACAACGAGCCGGTTAACCTCTATAAAGTCCATGGAGGTTCCCCAGTAGAGGAAGAATATATCAGGATGAAGAGGAGTGGAGGGAGGTAGAAGAAGACGATTAACTCCTCCTATATCCCTAGATTCTATATTCTGTCGACAAGCAATTCTGATTCACAAATCAAATCAATATTTAAGCGATTGTTAACGAAATTTGCTAATAATCGCTAATAAATAGCTAATTAACAACTTGGGATGAATAAGATGAATAGGCATATAGTATTAAAGCCAGGTTAAAATATAAGAAAAAAATAATTGAGCTTAAAGGAACATGGGGAGGAAGAATGTTTGCCCCTGACAAATTCCTCCAACAATTTACTAATAATTTAAAGTTTCCTACGGGTATTTTAAGACAAAAAGACATTTAAAAAAAAAAATCACGTATTGGCAAATCATTATTAAAGGAAAAGTTTAATCAAAATATTAATGGAACTAATTAATAACTAGAACGAACATGATGTAAATTTCTCGTCTTAAAAAGCGAAATTTTTTAATTTGATAAATGCCTGTGTGAGATGACAAGGCCGATAGCAAGGAGTAGAGCCACCGCAAGACTAGCTCCGGTGATGAGAGGTAAATTATGCCGGGGCTCACAGGGTTCAGGACGACCGCACACGTGATCCTCGATAAGTATCGGCTTCTTTAAACTTATCGGCCGGCAGACTGGAGACAACCGAGTTAGAGTATGGTCTGACCCTGAGTTGCAGTACGGATGGTTTACTAAAAAAAAATCAAAGTAATGAGAATGAAAAAAATAATATCAATATTAAAAATAAGATAAGATTTCAACTATCATGAGAAAAGTTTGAAAAAATTAAATATTCAAAGTTAAAACTTCAAGTGTGGCAAAGTTAAAAAATTTTAAATTTTATACTACAGATAATTTGATAATTTCAATATTCATTTAATAGATATGTCTGTCTATTGTACATTGCCTAGCATTAATGTTTTATCGAGAAGTGTTAAAATTTTGATTCATTTATTTTTAATGACATTTAGTTACACTCTTTTTCACATCTCTCATTGGTTCCCCGATTGTAAACTACTTATTAAAGATTTGATTTGGTGCTTTAATTTTTAGATTGCTAATAATAACAACAACTAGCTGAAGGACCCGGCGTTGCCCGAGAAAAAAGAAATCAACAACAACAACAATAAGAACAACAAGAACAACAAGAACAACAAGAACAAGAACAAGAACAAGAACAAGAACAAGAACAAGAACAAGAACAAAAACAAGAACAAGAATAATAATAATATTCCTTTTAAATTTTTGTTTACTCAATAATAAGGATTTTTAAGGGGTTTCATAAAACAAAATTTAGAAAAACAACAAAATTTAGTTTAATAACATAGAAATTTTTAAAAACTAAAACTAAAAATATGTTTTCTAAAGAGTCTACACTCTACAGGGTTATCAACAAAGAACGAGACAATAATCACGAACAGATACTCTTCACATATGACGGTTTAAAGTTCAGATTTGGTCTACACCTTTAAACCAGTCGACTTACAAGGATATATTTGGTCACATGTAAATAAATACGGTTCTTGTTCGTATAAAGATGTAAAGAACCAATGAATGAAAAAGTACAAAGAGAATAAATTCAGAACAGTCGTCTCTGAAATTGTTTTGTGGGTAACCCTGTATGATCTATGTGCAGGCCTGAGTCAAGATTACCTAATTCAACCCTGAGACAATACTGGGTATCATGAGTAATATTTCCAATAATAACTTGAAACATCCCATGAGTTAAGTTAACCGCGTCTAGTGATACAAGCTTCCGTAGCCTGCCTACTCCCTCTCTGGGGAGCTCTTTGCAGTCTCCAACTTCCTGGGCCATAGGTTGGAGGACAACCTCCACCTGGTCATAGGAGCGTACTGGAGTGCAGGAGGGCAGGGTTCCGGTCAGCATTACCTAAACAATATAATATGTTATCTTTATGTTTTAATCCCTAAACCTCAGAGGTTATCGCTTCTATTAGGCTTTTTTACTGATGGGAAAAAATTAAGAACAAGTCACCCGACCCAATATCTTCGAAAATATGATGAGCCAAAGAATAAGCGATTTGTAAATTTTTCAGATCGTTAAATATTGAATTTGAGAAATGCATGATGAACNGTACTTTGTACGACTGTCAAATGTATGTAAACTGTACAGTGTACGGGGGTTCCTAATTGTTGACATCCGGACGAAACTGTTAAGGAGGATTATCAATTTACCTTTGCAGGACAATGCTGTAGGACTGGGACCCCTATCAGCGGAGTTGGAGATTTCTGTATATCTCCCCTGCACCATGAGAACACCAGCTCCTCCTCCAGGTTGGAAACTTCAATGATCTCCGAGCATACTGCAGCACCACTCTGCCCGGCATGCTCGCATGTACAGGATAGCTGTGTTTCATGACAAGGACATATTCTCACCATATACTCCTTCTCCACAACATGATAGAACCTGATGGGCTGGTTCTGCCATGTGTCGGATATCTCTAGATTATCCTTCTTTATAGACGCGTGGACAGAGTCTCCGTGTTTCCAGAGCAAATCAGGGTTCGGACTGTCACAATTTTGAAATTTTGAAAAGTATTCTCTGGAACCAAAATCCTCCGGAACCTGTGCGTTTGGAGGATTTATCGTTCTCCAAAGCTCGACACTGAAGTTTCGCGTGGAACAGGATTGAAGAACATCCTGAGTAAAGAATCCGTTTAGAGTTAAACTATTATCCTCTCCTTTATACTCCGGGGTCAGGTTAGCTACTAGCTCCAGCAAAGACTGGGTACAGTTAATATCATCTGATAGAACTGAACCTGTGAACAGAGCTAGGATGATGTAAATCTTCTTCATCCTCAGCTTAAAGAGGTTTGAAGCAAGGATACCATCATTATGATCTAGAAGATTCCTATCAAACCATCTTCACGCAACATTTATATCTTGTTAACTTTCAGATCTATTCAACATTGTTGCACTGACGGTTACGCATTATCAGATCTTCATGTAAAACTATTTATTTCTTCTTGATAAGGTTTCATCTCTTCATTTCTGTTAAAATTTACCAACAATCAGATCCATTTTTAGTCAGATCTGAAAAATAAATAAATGGTTAACTTTCTTTAGAAATCTTGTTTTAAACTTCGAGTTATGTATTTATGGTTGTAATTATTTGTAAATATGTGCTTAATCTGAATTTTAGGTGGAAATACTTTATGAACCAAAAAACTATTATGCAGGCTAAAAAAACTTTGTTTGTATCTAATAAACGTCAAAACGGCTTAACAGATTGGCCCTAGTTTTTGTGTAACAACTCATATGATCCCAGAAAAGGTTTGTGGATGGTTGAAGATGAAAATTTTTGCCCTGATATGAATTTAGGATTGATACAAACCTAAACATAAACCTCGGATTGATACAAACCTTTTTATAAACCTAAGTTTGATACAAACCTAAAAAATAAATCTAAGTTTGATACAAACCTTAACATAAATCTAGGATTTATACAAACATAAACATAAACCTAGGATTGATACAAACTTATTTATAAACCTAGGATTAATACAAACCTATTTATAAACCTAAGTTTGATACAAACCTTTTACGTAACCTATGATTGATACAAACCTATTTATAACCTAGGATTGATACAAACCTAAACATAAACCATGGATTGATACAAACCTATTTATACACCTAAGTTTGATACAAACCTAAAAATAAACCTAAGTTTGATACAAACCTTAACATAAACCTAGGATTTATAAAAACCTCAACATACACCTAGGATTGATACAAACCTATTTATAAACCTATATTTGATACAAACCTAAACATAAACCTAGAATTGATACAAACCTATTTATAAACCTAAGTTTGATACAAACCTTAACATAAACCTAGGATTGATACAAACCTATTTATAAACCTAGGATTGATACAAACCTATTTATAAAACTAGAATTGATACAAACCTATTTATAAACCTAGGATTGATACAAACCTATTATAAACCAAGGATTGATACAAACTTGAACATAAAACTAGGATGGATACAAACCTATTTATAAACCTATGATTGATACGAACCTATTTATAAACCCAGGATTTATAAAAACCTTAACGTTAACCTAGAATTGATACAAACCTATTTATAAACCTAAGTTTGATACAAACCTTTAACACTACCTATGATGGATACAAACCTATTTATAAACCTAGGATTGATACAAACCTAAACATAAACCTAGGATTGATACAAACATATTTATAAACCTAGGATTGATACAAACCTATTTATAAACCTAGGATTGATACAAACATATTTATAGACCTAAGAATGATACAAGCCTATTTATAAACCTAGGATTAATACAAACCTATTTATAAACCTAGGATTAATACAAACCTTTTTAAAACCTAGGATTGATACAAACCTATTTATAAACCTAGAATTGATTTATACATTTATTTATACATATTTATAGACCTAAGATTGATACTAACATATTTTTAGACCTAGGATTGATAGAAACATATCTATCGACCTAGAATTGATACAAACCTATTTATATCATGAACATATCATAGCATAAACCGAAATTTAAATAATTAGAACTTTGCTTATTATTAATCTACAAAGGTAGAATTACACGAACGTAAAACATGATATAACATTAACCAAGACCTCAGACTAAAAACTTGAACTAGGTACAGTGATGCAACACATTCACTGTGAGTGATATAATCTTTAAAACAATAGGTAAGCATGAAAACAGTACAAATAGAAAAGATGTAAACTGTACACTGTGCGTCTTAAATGTATTTTACCTGTACAATGTACATCTTAAATATATGTAAACTGTACTTTGTATGTCTTAAATGTATGTAAACTCTACTTTGAACGACTGACAAATGTATGTAAACTGTACATTGTACGTGTTAAATGCATGTAAACTGTACATTGTACGTATTAAATGTATGTAAACTGTACTTTGTACGACTGTCAAATGTATGTAAACTGTACAGTGTACATACACTGTACGTCTCAAGAGTGATTCTTAATAATTCTTAACAATAACCCACGAGCATGAGAACAAAATAACATCAGCCATTTACCTGGAACATTCAAAGTATTCATTCATAATTCTTACTTTACTCTCAAACAACAGCTGATATATACAATATATAAAAATATCTATTTGTATATATATAAGAAGTGTAATATTTGACACTTCATACAGCTGATCCGGGTATACGGCTTACCACAAAGTTGTTTTTTAAGAACTGCACTAAGTTTCTATCTGGAGAATAGTCGGGTAAACAATACCAGATTCTACTAACAGGATGAAGAGAAGTGGTATTCCCCTCCTTATTATACTGGTTTCCCTTTTATCCTCTTGCTCCAACACGGGGCCTCCCCCCCTGGCCTCCGAGGATCATTACAGATCACTTTTCAATATTTATACCAAAAGAAAAAATATAAGGACACCACTTGTCGATCAAATTATCTTATCAAATTCGCAATATAAAATATATAGCAAAATATTCGGCATACCTCTGCTTATCATTTTCCCCATGGAACCACCCGCAAAAATTCTATGGTTTTCACTAAATTTAACAAAAAAGAGCAAGTTCTATAAACTTGGAACTATTTGCGGTATTCTGCAAAAGTTTTAAAAATGCGCGTAAAAAATTGAACATTTTTAAGGAAAACTCGAAAACTTAATTCAATTGATTTACAAAAATTCAATATTTCATTATTGGAAGGACGAGGATTTCGAGGTGGCTCGGACTAGAAAATGAGGAGAATGTGGCTCGGACGAAAATTTGTTGTGGCTGTCCTTCCTCCGCTCCCTATCTTAGATAGATAATTTGTGTATCTAATTTCTACACAATTTCAGTAATATTTCCACGTCATAAGATGTTAATAATATCAACCGGAGCATACGTTTCACGTTTTTACGATGAAAACATGAGATGACGAGATGGTTTCATTTGAGTTGCTACAAAAAAATGGACCCGATCGGTTTAACCGTGTTGACGTTTGTTGGAAAAAACAGACACGAAAGGTTTATCTTTCTATATAATAAAGCTCTTCGCTATATATATATTTATTCGTATTAAGTTAGCTGGCAAAATGGCTGGAAAAAACCCATGGGTATCCTGGGGGGTAATATTGGCTAAAAAATTCTAATTATTTTTATCTCTCAAAAATCTATTTTTTTACGATTTCTTTTTTAATTTTACAGGGCAACTTCAGCTAGTAAATATAAATTATATGACCAGAAAACTTTGAAATAGGGAGACAACTTTAATCATCATATTATAACTTTAAAGTGTCCAGTTCTTCCTAATCCATTGTTTTCTGGATATCACTGTATATGGATATCCTAGAATACCTGACGTACGAACCCCCAATGTATTTTACCTGTACAATGTACATCTTAAATATATGTAAACTNACTCAGTCCCTGTTTAAGTTTTGAATACAACCTAACCCACATTATGCCAAAAATGTATCTATTTAGGTAATCCGAAATAGAAACAAGCAGAATGAACTTAAAAGGGAAAAGTATTGGGGCTGAAAAGTTTCAACAAATTGTTGTTTAGGATACAAGCTGTTTGAAAAAAAGAGCAACCGTTTTAGCGATGATAATGTTCTAATGTAAATTAAAAGATTAGAGATTAAAACATTTATGTAAAGCATACGTATTTATAACCCAGTTCAGGGGCGTAGTCAAGAATTTTTCCCAAGGGGGGCTTACATTTTTTCTTTCTAGCACCTATTGGGACCTGAACCCCCTGCAATCCATAGATTTCACTGGTCCAAGGGGGGGGGGGGGGGGCTTAGACCCCATAGCCTCCTGACTACGCCTCTGACCCGGTTGCTCAAATCGAATAAAAATAGGCAAAATTTACTGGAAAGTAATAAAACTGGAAACAAAAACTTCACGACATTTTTTTTAATACGACGTTAACTCTTACGTAATACTAAGCACGATGTTTTGTACAATATTGCAATTGATGCTGAAAAAGGTGATATATTACTATGAAGCTATGATAATGATTGTTGCCAGAATGTTCAATGATGGTAAAATTAGAGGAATCACCTTGACTAGTCCGACAAATTAAAAATAGACCAAGATAAAATTATATAAAGTCTACACACCAACCAGGGCGTATCAGCTGAATAACAAAACCTCATTTGTACACTTTTTACACGCCATTTCTAGTTTTTTTAATAACCAAATGATCACCGAATACGTCCACTACTTTTATTTATTCTTATATAAATATATAACAGTCGCAATTACAGTGCACTATAGAATTCAGGCAGGTAGTTAGTCACAGTAACCTTTCCCTACAAACAGCACTAACTCAGGGTATGAGAAAAGTAGTCTTGAAAGTGAGTAAATGAGAAAGAGGGAGAGAGATTCTCTCTATGTTGTAAGGCAGAGACCAGACTTGGCCTGGCCCTCACAACACAACAGGGATAGGCCTTCATTACTAAACTTGGGACGAAGCCAGGGTAAAAGAATTAATACCGTATCTTAAATTATCTTTAAATTCAACATTCTAAAGAGCTCTAAACATTCTAAACTATGCGACCATTTTTATCCAAATTTTGAAATACAAATAAAATAACTTTACTTTAATACTTTCGGAGTATGGCACAGTTCAGTTGTATAACTGTTTGAAATTAAAATGAACATTTTCGAACAAATTACATTTATGATTTTTGCAAAAGCATATCGATCGCAGACTAGACAAGAAGAACGAGAGTTATATAATCAATATGATTTTTTTTTATCAAGCAATAGGAGCTAGATAAATTACTTGCATGCAGTGGCGTAAATAAGGGGGGATATTGGGGTTATTTACCCCCCCCTAGAATCCTGGGGGTAAATACCCCCCCCTAGAATCCTGGGGTTAAATACCNGGGGGGGGGGGGGGGAGTTTTAATTTTCAAAATGATATTTGAGCAAAAGCTGACGTAAAAAGATGATGATAAACAACAAAAAAAAAAATTGATTGATAACTAAAACCAGTGCACATCTTATGGAATGCTGTTTGAACATAGATTAGATAAATACACCTGTTTAAATACACCTCTTAACATACTGCATGTGTTCATTTTCTATCATCTTAGAATCTCTAGATATTCTTGATCTCATTTTACCTGAAAACAAATTTTAGATCATTAAAAAATAAATCATATTTTCAACAAATTTACAATTTCTAGAATCGATCTTCAATCTTTCTTACATACACTTATTTACATTCTAGATTCTAGACTATTCATAACCAAAAAAATGAAAAAAACATATTTATATAAGGGATTGTGAAATATATAGTAGTCGAGGACTAGATATTAAGAACAAAGATGGCTCCAATTCTTCGAACAACCTTGACCTCCCTTGGCTCGTAATCACGAAGGATTCGCCGTATTTCTCTTCTCCTAAACAAAAAATAAAGTTTTATTAAAAAAGAAAAACTAAAATCGTTTCCGATGGATAGAACAAAACTGATAAAAAGATCGGACTTACAACTTTGTGGGACCTCACATTCACAAAAAAATATCATAATATCAACAATTCTGATTCTTTGTCTTTAGGAATTTTGTGACGTCTTTATGAACACATTAGCTTCAGAATTAAACTAATCTAGTATTGTCTAACTTATTCTCTATTGATGATTTTGTGTCGTTACAGGTCTGGGGAATTTACCCTTTCTCAAAAGATATGATATTGGCAAGTTTTTAAAAAGTATTATTATTAAAAATAAAGTCTCGAATGAATATGAATGTTTTGATAATTTGAAAGCAAGACGACATTAGTTGACATTGTACTTATGCTGAAAGTGCAGTATTGAAGAGACATTTTTCGGGATTCATTCGAGACCAATGAGACGTTTTTACGGTGTGTTAAGCAAGAGTGCAAATGCAATCTTTAAAATCCTTGTTACAATTTAGATTTTCATAAAATATCGTCAAATTTCGATCCCGAAAGAGAAACAGTTGTAACAAAAGTTGGTCCTTTAAACAAAACAAAAAACCCCAATCAGTTGTACGGAGCTTAAACATTACTTGCCGCAACTCTTTTTATTCAATGTACTACATGTACGTAGCTTGTACAGAGTTAAATTTATATTTTCAATTTTAGCTGAAACACTCTGGTATTGGGAAGAGGAAGACGACATGAGCTATATCTAGTCTAATTTATCTAGGGTATTAGGTGAATAAGGTATTAAATGTAGTTATAGTTACGTAACTGTTATTTGATTTTAATTCTTGTTTTATAGCTTTAATTTACTACGCGAAGAAAATAGAAAGGAAGTAAATAATTCGAATCGATGCGATAAGTATCTCGAAAACAGATGTGCTCTATATGCGCTATGAGTAAATATATCTTTTTAATCTTTACTTCAAAATGAAATAAATGAAAGTCTACATGTGAGAGGCTACCTGGACAGTTTCAATTTCTGTGCATCCACTCCTTCGACCAGCTGGCAGGGATCTCCTGTATACTCAAGCTGTTTTAACTCTCCATTTTCTTGTACTTCCTGCATGGAAAATACAAATATTAACTGAACAAAAAATTTCTGCATGATGATAGGCAACTTTTGTTTTGGTCTGTTTGGAACTTACAAGGTTTATTTTTCATTTTCAGTGGCTTCACAATAATTCTGCAGTATGGCCAAAACTTTTAGAGAAAAATCTGTACAAAAATCCGTACTTTGATTTAATTTTAGCTACGCATCGTAGTCCCAGTGCTACGGGATCGGATGGATAGTGACTGGATTAAAGTAGTGCCATTCCTATTCAGTTCCAACCGAATGCTACTATTCATGATCCTACTAGAGCTACAACCCACAGCACCAATACCACTCAGCATAGTAATATTGCGATGTACCATCTCATCAGAACAATACTCCGTCAAAAATTTCTTATTTCGCAATGGACCAATCATTTTTCTCACAATTTTATCATTTTCATTAATATTACATTGGCAACAATTTAGCTTGACTTCCATGACTGAACCAGTGTCAGAGAATCTATTTATATGAAATGCCGTCTTATGAAGACTTTACTGTGAAAGGATGCCCATTATACTTACAAAACCAAACTATTGATTTTAATTGTAAGCATCCAGTGATCCAGTGCTTGTAAAAGGTCAAGTTGTGATCATAAACTGAAGTAAGTAGGAATAGAATTTGATTTTTTATTTACGTAGCAAATTTTGTAATGATTATTTGAATTTATGAATCTTTTTTAAATTTCTTACTCACCCTAACAAATTGCTATCATCGAAAATTATATTAAAATATATGATTGTAAAAAATTCAGTTTATATATTTGTAAACATTAAAACATTGTAAACATCCCGATACAGTTTTCTTCAAAATAGCCCGTTAAATACAAATCCGTCTACCACTCTGTTGGAAAATTTAGCTCTTTCGCGGGAAAGTATTATTCCTATTTTTCATCTTATTTGCAATCGCATATTGCTGTACCGTTCTTTAAAAGTAATGGAGCTGTCTTAAATTTAAATATTTCGGCACTATTCCAGTACTATCCGTTGCATTACATTTTGGGTTGCTCCGCAAGTCTATTCCTTTCTGGTGAAATCCATTGAAAATTGATTTTTATCAGTGTACATTATCAGATAAAAATCCATACATCTATGAAAAAATATCCACAAAATCAATCATTTTTGTTGGAAAAATCTGTACGCTGGATGTCAAGATTAATGCTTAAACTCCTGGTTTCACTAAACCCAAGATTATTTTAAAACGCATTCGATATCCAAGAAAGAAGTTAAAAATTTAACCAATCAGCGTGTCGTGTTTAAAAAATAAATTAAAGAAAGCTATAATACCGATATATTTCATGCTAACTTTGCCCAGCAGAGAAATTATATTTTTTATCAATCAGTACATTCCACAGCTCGCGTTTTCATCAAAAATATTTGAGCTAAATCTGGTCAAAAAAAATTTACACCTGAAAAATAACTGAAATGTTCAGGATTTCAATCAAACCTTGATTGTCAAATTTAAACGAAAATTATTCCCTTATTACCAAATACCCATACTGCAAAGTTTTTTTTGTGGGACAACATGTACTTCTGGAACATATTCTCGAAAAGATGAAAGAATGAATTTTGATTATCCATTGAAAAATTACAATAATAATCAACCTATTATAAATCGGAATGAATAAAATAAAACTTCTATTAGACTAGACTTATAAAGAAAATTTTTATGCAAAAATTAGCTTTTAACAAGTCAAAATCGAAAAAGAATAATGTTTTCCGGGTAAAAGTCCTGACAATCCGTACAAGCTTTTGGTAAAAATTAAAAAACTCCATACAATCCGTACATTTTGGCCACCCTGAATCTGTTGTGCAACATATTTCGAAATTATATGCTTTTAAAGTTTGCTTTTTACTTTGTGATTTTTATCTCGAAACCTGCAGGGAAGTAGATATAATGCGGATGCCTATCTCTAAACCTGCAGGGAAGTAGATATAATGCGGATGCCTGTCTCTAAACCTGCAGAGAAGTAGATATAATGCAGATGCATATCTCTAAAACTGCAGAGAAGTAGATATAATGCGGATGAAAAGTTGTTTGAGTAAAAATATAAACCTTGTCAACTAAACCTGACATGAACTTCAGTCTCCAGATAAAATTGGTTTCTTATAGAATAACAAAATCGGAACCAACACAATTAGATAATGAATAAGTGAGCAATAAACACAAATAATATATCAACATTGCCTAAGCCTTCAAATGGACCTTAATTTTTTGCTTAAAAAGATTAAAAAATCGATCTTTTTAAATTCGAAAAAAAAAGGATAAAATTTACCTTAAACCGTGTATCCCAAACCTCAGGAACATCCTCGTCCCAATTCTCTGAATATCATTAATCTGAATTCTAAATATCTTCTTTTCGCTGAAGACATGCATGTTTCTTATTTATTTTTAAATAATATTTATGTTGTATATATCTATCTGGTCTGCTTTTCTCTCAGCTTTCAAACATGACAGACCCAGTTGAAGTAGTGGTAAAAAAGATTTTATTAAATGATAAAAAAATTTCTCCAATTAAAAAAATTCTTTTCTTAAATTAAAAAACTTTTCCCGAAAAACAAACGTTTTAAGGTGATCATGAACAAAAATTTATAACAATTAACGCTCCCTGGTCATTTAATATTTACCTATTTCACAGAGTATAGCTGAGTACAAGGTTGAACTACTAAATAAGTTTTTATTATATTTTATCATAACTCAATCTCACACAGTACACAATATAACCAGAACCCAATGGAATGGGAAGACGATATTAAAGCAATACTTTAGTTTATATTTGATGCTGTCACAAACGACACTTATTAAATCGCGCTAGTTAGCAAAATGAGACTGTTAACACTCCACCATTGCTGTGTCTCATGCTCATTACACTTTTTAAAGTTAATACTTGATTTAAAAGTCGTTTTCCTATTCCAGAGTTTTCTAGTTATCACAGTATAGTGTATATTATTTAATATTAATAGAATTAGATAAAGCAGGCCCGTAACTGAAAGTTTTTGGAGGGATCCACACACGGTAAACAAAAGGCCAAAGCATTATATTACCTTAAATTCGATTTTAAAGGGAGAGGGGAACACACGTCTGTGTGTCCCCCCCCCCACCCTCTCAATTACGGCCCTGAGTTTAAGGGTTTGTCGACGTAAGTTCCAGTGACATTTCTTTTAAAAGGGTTACATGCTTGAAGCTCAATTCTTAGATGGAGTAATTCTTGATCGAGTTATCCTTGAGAAAAGTAAGGATAAAAAAGAATTTACATCTGTTAAAAACAGGGGCTAAAGGGTATGTATTGCTTCAAATTGAGGATCACTTGAAATTTAGGAAACATTCCCTTTAAGCAGTGATCTATATACCTAGGAGTGTACTCTTTCAGACAAGAAGCTGGAACTTTCTCGAAAAATCCGAAATCAAGACCAAACACTTTCACTGAGAAAATACTTAATTAGATTTTAAAATCAGTGCTCAGAATCCGAAGCCGCAAAATATTACGGATCCACAGAATATCAACCAAAATAGATAAACAGAAAGTGATTTTTCATGAAAGCATGATCGAAAATAAAATATACAAAAAAAAACTTTTGTATTTAAACAACACGATCTCTCTGTAATCTGCGAGTTTAAGCGTAAAAATGGGCAATATTTTATTTGGATCCGGATCAATTTCTTAAGACATGGATTTGAATTCAACCAACTGTTTAAACAATTAAATAAATAGAACACAATACATTTATTTACAATATACATGTTTTTATGAATAAAAAAGTTTTAGATTTAGGTTAAGTTTACCTTGCATGTTCTTATATCTGGCTACAACTAAAACTCTGTACCATTCATTATCAGAGTTAGACCTGGCCAGATAAACCTGAAAATACATAGATCTCTCAATCACATATATTGATCAAAAATCTTTATAACCAGTGCGTAAATAACCATATCATCATATAATCATGAAACCTTATTTCTATATTTTGAGCTGAAGCCTAGTTTTACAAAGGCAAGATTGAATTTCCAAAACAAGAGTAAATAGATATCTACTAAAAGCCGAAAACATGTTTTGATTTCTTCAAAATTTCATGTAAAATATTTTGATGCCAAGCCAAACAATGCTCAGGATAAAAAATTAATAAAAAGAATTTTTAATGTATGTGCGAAAAGTACATTGAATGAAAAAATAACTTACTTTTAGATATACAGATGGATAGACAGATAGCTAGATAGATAACTAGACATATAGCTAGAATGAGATATAGACAGATAGATAGATAGATAGACAGATAGATAGACAGATAGCTAGACAGTTAGCTAGACAGATAGCTAGACAGTTAGCTAGACAGATAGCTAGACAGATAGACAGATAGATAAACACATTCTAAATTGAACACTTCTGGAACATATTCTCAAATGAACACTTCTGGGATCTCGAAAATTACGAATGAATTTTGATTGTCAATTGAAACGTTAATCAATCTAATATTATTTAGAATGCAGAAAATAAGTTAAACTAACTTCATTTTGACTAGATTTTTTATTGAAATTTTCATGAAAAATTTGCTGAAATGAGTGAAAATTAAAAAAAACCGGTGTATTTCCAGGATAAAAATCCGTACAATCCGTACAATTTGAAAAAAAATCCGCACAATCCGTACAATCCGTACATTTTGGCCACCTGCATGAGTGAAAAAATAGAAAAACCTCAAGGAACAATGTTAAGTTTTAAATCTTAATATTTAAATAATTAGAATCTTGAAAAATAAAACATAAAATACAAAGTACAGACGTGTGTCAAAAGACTTTATAAAATTGTTTAAAAAAACTTAACTGATAAAAAACCCTACCCCAATCTAAAAATGTTAAATACAATCCAATCTGATACTAAATGTATCTTTTATCCTAAATTAAAAGACTTCTATAAGAGTGTAAAAATAGAAAAACCTCAAGGAACAATGTTAAGTTTTAAAATTTTAATATTTAAATAAGTCGTGTACTCTTATCAAAAGACTATAAAATTGTTTCAAAAAACTTATTTTTAAAAGCAAGCTTCAATAAATTTCATTGATTTCACAGAGGGGAAAAAAATGCGCTCAAGGAAAACAGAAGGAAAGAATTTCTTTTTCATCCCATTATTTAAAGTTTACCTGACCAATCACCGGTTTTTCAGAGATGAATTTTCTGCGGCTCGCTAGCTTCCCATATTTAACAATCATATCCTGCATCTCAACTATCTTACTCTGAGGTAGAACTGTCACAAACTCAGGGCTCTCACTACGGAGGATTACTACTTTAATCTCTTCTCCAACCTATATGGGTAAAAGTATAAAAATTTGGTTGTTTATTGCTGGAAAATAAAGCTCTAACATTTTCTCCTTTTGTGTGTCTAAAGATTTCCCCCTATTGGAATCCTTACCGTGAGCTGACCAAACCGGTCTTCATTCTGAGAGAAAAATTTCTTGACTACCTCCAGGTAGTCTTCCCTCTCTTCATCCCCAGGTAAACTAAGGACAGGTTTAGGTACGGACCCTCGGTATCCTGAATCATTCCTTGTATTTTCCGCAAACTCCAGTTGCTTGAACCTGGCCCTGATCGGGTCAAAGTCTTCAGTATCATCTTTATCTTCGTTAATAGACAGCAGCTTGGATTTATCCTGGGATGATAAGGAGCACCAGGATATGTTAATGTCTTCCTCGATGATTAGGTTCAGCGAAACATCAACAGCTAGCTCGGAGTAAAGTTCTACAACCGGGATTTCGTCCTTACAGGTTACAAGGGCTATCAGAGGATCATCCAACGCCTGAATATGAAATGTTTACGCCAGATGATAAAATCTGTCAAAAATTAAATTTACTTCACACATAATCCAGAAAACAAAGTTGCTCTTGGTACCATTAATCTCCTAATAATTATATCAGGGCAATTCTACAGGAACTTTTAGAAATACATTTCAAAATGACAATCTGTATTTAGTAGCCTACAAAGTAAAAGCGTGACATATTTTGATAAATAATAAAGAACGAATTTAGAATTGCTGCAGGCTACAAGTTTAATCATGTGCTGAGACAAGGTTCAAAATGAAAACTTGGTCAATTTCGGAAAGTTTATGTACTCCAAAAGTAATTTTCAGGAATTATTATCTGCAAAGTCTGTTTTTCTCTAAATTATATGGTTGAACCACCGAACGTCGAACAATTCAACAATTGAACTGACTAAAACAAGGAAAAGACAGCAGGGTATTTTAAACTAAATTCACCTGTTTCACCACATCTGATATGAGAGATTTAAACAAGCTCCGAGGTTTACTGGAGACCTGGTGTAACCGGACAAGGATAGACTGGACAGGGTAGTGGGAGGAGTCTGGAGAGATAGATCTCAGGTTCTGAACCAACTCAGTTTTCCTTAAATTTACAGCCATTTGATACCTTAATAACTTTATAAGACATTGGAAGCGTTTCTCAACGATATCATTAACGCGCAATGCATTCACCGCACAATGCATTCACGAGTCTCCAATCACATTTACTATTATTACAACCCTGTTATAAGGAGAATTGATGATTTAATAATCTTAGCTTTTACTTTGGGACAAATATTAGCTTTTTTCTTGCATGTAGATGTATTCTGTATAAAATTTACAAATTCCTCATCAGAAAAACAATTTTCAAAAAAAATGAAAAATTTTCTTCATTGTTTCCGAGTTAAATGTTTTAAAAATAATAATGTAAATTGCTTATGGTTAAATGAAGGGTCTCTCTTGTAACGATATTTTACAAAAAATCAAAACCTGTATTTATAATCAATTCCTCTCACTCTAACATCTCCGTTCTTCAACAACTTGAGAACTTCAACCCTAAGAGTTAATTGTTTATTTCAATATAAAAAACATTTAAGAAGTATGAATTACATAAGATGGGTTACAACAACCTCAGAGGCGCAACTAGGGTGGGGGGTCGGCCGGGCGCGCGCCCTCGCCTAGCACCTGAGAGGGGCCCCCTTAGAATAAAAAAAAGAATGGCGAATATCAGTTTCACAGGGATTAGAAAACCAATAGAGTTATTGTAGAAATTATGCTATAGTTAGTTAAAAAAATATTTTTATCTTTTCATAATTCTCAAGGCTAAAGGCTATTGTAAACATATAATGTATTTGTGTTGACTGTTGATAGTTCATATAGTTCAAACTGTACAAGTGTACTTAGAATATACTGATCTAAGTTCTAACTAGATGTGCACCGGATGGTTTTTCCAGATTACTCAGTACTGCCAAAAACTCTGATATGTTAATCCCATTATCTTTGCAACCCAAATTTATAGTTTTGAAACTTTGAATTCTTTTGGTAAAATAATCTAAGTTTGAAACATCAAAGGTTTACACTACTCGGTGCAAAGATTTAGGGATTAGAATATTTGAGTTTGTGGCAAAAACTCAGTTCCAAATCTAGAGACCATTCTGAACCTGGCAAATTTCTAACTGATTATCATATTTCATAACTGATAGGGTTTATCTTCTTTGACAGAACTTCCATAAATTCGAAAATGAAATAAGTTAATGAATGTTGGTTAGAATCAGGGTGGCCAAAACTTTTTTGAACCCATCCGTACAAAAATCCGTACATTTTCAGAAGAAATCCGTACAATCCGTACAATTTTCGAAAAACAATCCGTACAATCCGTACAATTTTATAGAATGATCAATCATAAATTCAATAACTTCAGGAGAAAACGTAAAATTATCTGTCCTTTTTCAATGTAGATGATTAAGATAATGCATCCGTTTTAAACAGGCTTGAAACTATTTATGGTTTATACATATTTTAATGTTTTTTTTCAGAACATATAAATGATTATTTCTTGAAATTAATTCTGTAATTAAAAGGGTACTTAACAACTTTTCTTTTGCGCTTCACGTACACATTCAACGAATTGAATCATATCGTTCACATTAAAACTATAGTATACTAAAGTATAAATTTGTTGAAAAAACAAGAAAAAAACGATTTTAATTAAACAAAGCCAAATCTGTATGCAACAACTGAAAATTTCCTTTTTTCGACTTCAAACCCTTAAAAATGCACTTTTATTTAGAACATTTTTTAGAAAGAAGGTGGGGGCACGCCCCACCTTAACCCCTCTCCCCCAACCAGACCATTACAAAATAATATTTTGCCCCCCCCTAGCAAAAGTGCTAGTTGGGCCTCTGACTACCTGATGTATTTAGTTCCACTATAGTATCTACGGGGAGCAGCAAGAACTTCTCCAACTTCAGGTTGTCTTTTCAATGGTGGATACAATCCACTCTCCAGCATTCCTGCATCAGAAAATAGATATGTAATAACTAGGAAACTTAGCATAAAAAAGTAAATTATTAGTCATAAATAATTGCAAGGGTATATATTATTAAGAATTATTTTGAAGATGGGGGAGGGGGAAATCAAAACTTGGATATTAAAAGGCAAGTTTTTCATCCTTTTTCATACTTCTTGTACTATTTCTCCCAAAATATAATTTATCTTTCCAAATCAGCAAATAAAATCCTTAAAAAAAACTTCTTGGGGAAGGCATGATTTTTCAAGAATATATACCCCGGCATAAATGTTTTGGATGTTTCAAGTGTAATCATGTGTGTAGTAGTTGTGTCAAATCAGCCATTAGTCTTGCTTTCCATTTGTATTTCCTAAAAAGCTTCCAAAAAAGCTTGAACTTAACAAGTTGGTTATCCTACTGGTCTTGAATTAACCTGTATCCAGCTTGCTAAAGTCTAAACTATCAATATTGTTCTGAACAGGTACCAGATACATCATATCACTGGTTTCTCCAAAATCAAGAAACAGATACTCCTCTTCACTTCGAACCTAGACAGTATTTTATCCCATTAATATAAAATAGCAAAATGTTATTTATTTATTCTTTATGTCTACTGGTTTATTTGTTTGAATGCAAAAAAAACATTGATTTAATAAAAACGGTTGGGTCTAAAATAAAATAAATTTATTGGATCTTAAATGACACACAGGGTGGTTTACGGTTGGTTAGGATTTAAAATATAACTCCATAACAGATGGAATGTTTATAAAATGAAGTCTGGAAGTTTTTAATATATATAGGGGAGCAACTTAATGTCTAGTACTAAATAATTACCTTCAATTTTAACATATCGTTTAGAAATAATTTCTTCTCTGAGAACGTAGCTGAGAGCTGCGAATACGGACTCTCAAAAGGAAGTGATAGCGTAGGTTCTTCTAGAGGTGGTTCCTCACTGTAAAGTGTTGGGTCAAAACTAAATTTTGGTTTTGACACTGGAGAAGAAGATTGCAGAGATATAGGTGTATAGAGTTGTCCTAGTTCACCAGGAATACATCGACTGGGGAGATGTGATAGGGTGAAGGTTCCTCTTCCATTCCCAACCATATTGGATACATGTTCCACAGGTTCAATCTTACTTCCCTCTCCAGCCTGGAGTTCATCAGAGTTATCAAGTTCTTGCTCAGGTTCAGGATCAGGGTCTTCAAGGTTGGGTTCAGTCTGATTGTGTGTGTTTGTGTATAAGGTTTTATCTTTGATGAACTTGAATATATCCTTGCATATTCTCTGCTCCAGGTACAGGTTAACCAGCTGGATATTCTTCTCCTGGTTAACTGGACTCACATACACAGTAATATCCTGTCATAATCAATTTAATGACTTTCATCATCATTTTTTAAATAGAGAAATATTTAACTAACTTCAGTTGTCATATTACACCCGAGAGATAGAATAGAAGACTTATTTGGTTGCATGCAAGGAAGTCAAAACTTTCTTAATGCGTAATTTCAAGTGACCCCTCCACGCAAAGATCCATACGACAGTACCTTTAAAACCTTTACCTAATCAACAATATGGAATATGTTGTCAATTTTCTATGTTTAACAGAGTAAAATTCTGATAATTCCAATATGTTTCCCTGTAGTAGAAATGCGCAAGTCACTTTTGTATAGAAACTACAATTAAAAATAACCAGTTCTCCAAACTAAAAACTTAATTATCTAATACATAATTGATCAGACAAAGTTTTTAAGTTGTGAATTGTCGTGAATCGGACGATGCCATCATTGCATGGAGGGTCACTTGAAATTACGCTTACAGTCCTTTAAACAAAAGCTTCCCAGACAAAGTTTAAAACATAAAAGATTTCAAACTAAAATAAAATACATGTCGTTTATTTTGCTTCTGCACTTAGTGTCAAACCTGTTGATCTAACATTAATAAAATTAACGATGCATGAAGAGTTCATCTAAGTTTACGAAAGTTAACAATGTAAAAAGAGGACGCACAATCGTTTGAGAAACATTGCAGAAAGTGCTGCGGATACGGATCAGTAATATCGAGGAATATGATGTAAGATATTAATCTACTTGACCTGGTTCTGGATGAAGGTCATCAAGCTTTTAGTGTCATTATCCGTCCACAACTCAAACTACCGGACCAGATATATTTTATAAACATCAAAAATTTCAAATCAACTTACATCTTTATTTTAATTTCCATCAACTTTTTGTACTTCTAAATTAAGAGAGAAGTGGAGAGCCAAGGAAACATGATAATAAACCTCCATTTTAAAAGTTTAATTAAAAAATTAAATAACCACATTATCATATGTGGCCTGTTTCCTTTGGTATATGGAGGGAGAGTGTGGTTATGGTAGCTGGTACAGACCAGAGCTGGATAGGTATACGGAATACTTGATCACACTTTACAGTTACTATGTCACCTTCATCTACCAGATCAACTAAAACACACAGATATGTAACTTAAACATACAGAATAAGTATTAACAATCAAGTACGTTTTTATTGACTTGCACAAAAACTGCAATATAAAAATTTTCAAGGAAGAATTTTTTATGTTGAAAGAATAGATACTTATTTAAATCTTTAAAAAACCTGTTATCGACCCATTTGTTGGAGAGATCTTGATAATGTTTGCTCTGAACAGTTGGCTCCTATGTCTGACTACTGCACTCGACTTGGATCTAAAGATGTAACATTTAAAGAGAGTAAAGTTTATTAGATTTATGTTATGTACAATATACAGATACCTGGGACTTTTTAGTATCACCACTTTATCTTCTAGTTGATTAAGAAGATTTCTGATTTCGCTTTTATTAACTCCATTGCTGACAGGTAGAACGGAGAATTCCTCTGGGAAATTGTTACGGCTGGAGATTAACATAACTTCAGTTCTTCCCTTGGCTAAGAGAAAAGATTTTATTGGTGGTGCTGGTACAGGAGGAAGCTGGAGATTTTGACCTTTGTCTAAGGATTCTAGGTTTGATGCGTCTTCAACTGCATTAACATCAGTTTTAACAAGCGTAATATCGTTTTCAGGGTTAGGTTTATTCTTGACAGGGTTTGGGTTGCTTCCAGGCTCGTCCATACTTTCAGATAAAGAATAAAAATCATTCTCTGAATCGTCAATGAGGAGCGGTAAATCTGGAGAGGAACTGATCTCTTGAGAATCAGTAGAAGAATGAAAACTATTTTGATTGATAAATGGTAGGTTATCTGCTGAATGGCTCATCTTTTCTGTAAAAAATAATTCACGTTGATTTTCATTTTCAGTTTCTATAGCATATGTACGAGGAAATTCATCGGGTTCATTCTCCACATTTGTTTCATTCATCTTTGTGGAATCTATTTGAGGACTTAAAAATTCTGTTTCTCTAGCATAAACCTTTTCAGGCTTAATAGATTCAGTCATTTCAATCGGACCAATTTCAGAAGGCCTAGGCGACTGAATCACGTTACCAATCTCAAGCAAGTTCCCCCCAACTAGTTTTATGGAACCAGCTTCAGTCAAATAACATATATTATCTAGTTTCGCAACTTCAGTGTTTGAAATGGTTTCGTCTAGTTTCAAAGAACCAGATTCAGTGAGTGAACTGGTTTCATCTAGTTTAATAGACTCAATTTCAGTCAATGTACTGGTTTCATCTAGTTTCATAGAACCAGATTCAGTGAGTGAACTGATTTCATCTAGTTTCTTAGAACCAGATTTAGCGAGTGAACTGGGTTTTTCCAGTTTCATAGAAACAGATTCGGTGATTGAACTAGTTTCACCTCTTGTCATAGAACCAGATTTAGCGAGTGAACTGGTTTCTTCTAGTTTCATAGAACCTGATTCAGTGAGTGAACTGATTTCACTTGTCATAGAACCTGATTCAGTGATTGAACTGGTTTCATCTCTTATCAAAAAACCAGATTTAGCGAGTGAACTGGTTTCATCTAGTTTTATAGAACCTGATTCGGTAATTGAACTGGTTTCACCTCTTATCATAGAACCAGATTCAGTGATTGAACTGGTTTCATCTCTTTTATTAAAACCAGATTCAGTGAGTGAACTGGTTTCACCTCTTATCATAGAACCAGATTCAGTGATTGAACTGGTTTCATCTAGTTTCATAGAATCAGATTCAGTGAGTGAACTGGTTTCACCTCTTATCATAGAACCAGATTCAGTGATTGAACTGAATTCATCTCTTTTCATAAAACCAGATTCAGTGAGTGAACTGGTTTCATCTAGATTTAAAGAGCTAGTTTCATTAAGTTTTGGGATATCCACATTGGGAATACAACTTTTAATCTTTATACAGTTATCAGCTTCTTTAGAATTATTAGAATGACCATCTCCATATTCTTTGGTGGAGACAATCTCAGTAGAACAAGTATTTTCAGTATCAGGTTCAGTAGATTTGGTTTCTTTATTCTCAATACTAGATTTAGAACAGGTAGAGCCTTCAATGTTATTTTCTAAATGAGCAATAATTATTAAATATTAAGTAAGTATTAGATCCTGATTTAGTGCCAACTTTAGCTAAAATGGAAGATAAAGATATTTGGGTGTAAAAAGGTTAACGCTAATATCTTTCCTTTTTATTAAACTTCTAAGAAATTTTTTTATAATAAAATTTTATTTCCAATTTATAGTTGGTGTGTTATTGTGAATAAGATAAAATATTAGAAAAATATTACAACATCAAGTGGTCCAATTATTATTTTTTCGGAAATTTATCTTAGTCAACAATTTAAAAAGAAGATTTCTCATATTTTTTTTCAAAAGAAATCTCCAAATATTCAATTTGTGCAAATTATGAAAAATTTAACATTAACCTTGTGTTCTGCCGATAAAGAACTTTGTTTTTCCGAATAGATTTTCTTCTTTCAGTATGGCTGCCCTATCATTTACTAAGAAGTTTTTTTCTGCCGTGTTCGGCAGTATATGTTGCTTTGCTTTCAAGGCGACTGCTCCGGACTTTTCCCTCTTAACGTTGGCAGGTGTGTATGTGGGTGTACTATTCTCTTTCTCCAAAGGACGTCTTTTGAGTGTCAATTCTTCCTTATTGGCTTTTTCAGAATTTCTAGTTAGGTTGGATTCATCATCATTCTGATGAATTGTGATATCCTTTACTGGAATGATATCTTTCGTATCTTGTTTGTTTGTGTTCTCATTTCCTGGAGTCAGATCAACTTTATCCTGTTTGTTTGTGATATCCGTAACTGGAGTCAGATCAACTTTATCCTGTTTGCTTGTGATATTCTTAACTGGAGTCAGATCAACTTTATCCTGTTTGTTTGTGATATCCTTAGCAGGAGTCAGATCAACTTTATCCTGTTTGTTTGTGATATCCGTAACTGGAGTCAGATCAACTTTATCCTTTTTGTTTGTGATATCCGTAACTGGAGTCAGATCCACTTCATCCTGTTTACTTGTGATATCCTTAGCAGGCGTCAGATCAACTATATCCTGTTTACTTGTGATATCCGTAACTGGAGTCATATCCACTTCATCCTGTTTACTTGTGATATCCTTAGCAGGAGTCAGATCAACTTTATCCTGTTTACTTGTGATATCCGTAACTGGGGTCAAATCATCCTCAGAATCTGATTCAAAGAACTTATCTTCATCTAAAACCAGACCGTTCTCTGTTACAATATTCTAGAAACAAAAATATATGTGATCTAACATTTGTAATTGCCTACTTTTTTGCTTCATTACAATATACAGGGTGGCCCAAAAAAACTGGGATTAGGGACTTTCAGCCCTTTAAATCGTTAAATAAGACTCGAAAATGTGCTCAGAAGAGAGGTTGCAGTAATCCCGGCCCCTTGGTTGCGATCAGCTTTAATGGACCTTAGGACTGGGCGATTGGGCCTCTTTAAGAAATAATTTAATAGATAAATATCTATCTACAATATAGATTTGACTTGAACAGAATAATAAAAATTGTTAACTGTTTAAAAGTAACTGCGAGGTTTTCAAACATTTGACATAGTTTTACGCAAAACGGAAGCATTTAATTACAAAATGTTACTTAAACGACCCCTTCTAAAATTAAAAACTATATGCAAAAGCACTTTTTGAGTCATTTAAAAAGATTATTGGGGCTATTTTTTATGGACCACCCTGTACATATATCTTCTGTCAAAGCCAACTTTATGAAAACTGTAATAACATATAATTTCAAAATTTACTGAACTCGTCAAATTTCTGATGAGAGTTTAGAAAGAAAGAAAATCTTTTCTGTTTAAAAACATGCCTAACACTAACTATAGAACCACCCCCTTTCAACTTCAAAAAGCAGCACTATGTGGAGAGTTGAACATTTGTATGGTTACTCATAAAGGTACTCTGTAATAATATTGCTTTAAGAGCTTGAAGTACGTTTTATGGTTTTCTAAACTTGACAGTTTTAAATAGTTAGCCACACATTTTATAGGCAAAGAGCTTTATTACAGTGGTAGGCGATTATCTCAATACAATAATTTTAGCAAGTTTTTTTCGAATCACAAGTTTACGAGCAATCAAAGAGAAGCTTTTTTAATCAACAGCTTCTCGTTTCCATGTTTATGTGTATCCTTGCTATATCAACGCCTGATATTCAAACATCTTTTTAGCTAAATGTAAAAACTAAAATTAAAATAAACAATTAAGGAGGATCCGTGGAATTTTAAGGTCGATTAAAATTCAGGAAAAAAATTGTCAAAAAAAATTTGACATTTTTCTTTTGTTCTCTTCCTGTGAATAATTGTATTAAAAGCTAGATCCATCTTTTAGCACGTAGATAAAGGATAAGGATCCACATCAACACGGATTAGATCCTAAGCAACTTACTGGGATCCCTCTTAATTAATTACTTAAATATATGAATATTTAAATCTGATTTGGCTTCAGAGTAGGGAAAAACAAGGCCGGGAAGGAAATTTTTGGAAATATCGGCTGCCAATAAAGAAATAACTCCAGTTTAATAACACACAGAAAACATAGTCATAAGTTTTTGTTTTGAAAATTTCTAACAGTTTACCTTTTTTAATTTTAAACCCTCGAAACTCAAAATTTGAAATTATTATGCGATAAAAGCTTTTATTTAGTTAATGATAAAATAGAAATATGACCTTTTTCTTTGTCTTTTCTTTTACGTTCTTTTCAGCAGTCACATCCCAATCTTCTTCTTCATCTTCAGGGCCAAATATATCCTAGATATTAAGACAGTTAGAAGTTTATTTATTCTAGAGAATAATTTCATCTTCAAAAACTCAAAATAATTGTCCCTTGGAAGAAAAAAACTAGACTTGAAAAAACAAGATTAAGGAAATAAATTATTCTCCAATGTGAAGCAAAAGCTTTTAAATAACTTTTAAAATCAATTTTCCTAGCTGTGAGGAAATAAATTTATTTTTCTCGGTGGACAATGACATCCAGATTTTATTGTCACTAATAATATTTTTCTAAAATACTTAATGTAATTGTACAGTAAGTTGCCTATTTTCCCATACTTTTTTAAATAAATTTTCCCTCATAGAACAAATGTATCCAGATTTTAACCTTTCTGCTAGACTGATTTTTTCTTAAGAACTCAGTGTACAGTAAGTAAAAACTAAACTTAAAAATTTAATTTTCTTTAAGAAAAAAATCGTGTTTTCCTATATTGACCAGGTTCCATTGTACTAACTTTTAATGAACTAACATTATTATAAAGAAATAAAATGATACAGTGCATCATGTGTATACCAACTCATTTTGCATTTTGAAAATAGTGAAAACCGAAATAATGAAAGATCTGAAACTCAAGTGACCGCTTACCATGCTACTTTATACCTTAGCTGGAAGAGTGTTGCTCAGAAGGTTGGAATGTCCATTAAATCCCTGAAATTAAAGGGAATTTGAATTCAATAGATATGAATAAATCTTATGTTTGTGACCGAGGGATTCATTTTTGCTGATTTGGAGGGAAGAAAAAGATAAACTATACATTAAAAGTCAACTTTTTAAAATTATTTTAGATACCTTTTACCCAAAAGATCATTGATTCTCCCCTAAAAATCATTTATTGTACCCAATAAAGCGAATAAACCCCCCATAAAAATTGCGTATATCTTCTGGAAAAAAAATTACTTTCATAACGGGGGAGGGGTTGTAGTACTAATTTTATAGGATTGCATGGTTTTCTGTACCTTAAAATGCACATTGAGAAGCAAAGGTGAAGCACGGTTAAGCACTTTCTGTACATCAAAGGCTTGCTTGAAGGTTGACATGGTTATAAAAGCTCTTCTGCTTGAGTTCTCAGTTCCTGAATTTTGCGTATAACAAAAACTATTTAAAAGTAGTCACATTTTCCAATACAATTGAATTGCTTAATTGAGAATAAATTTTAAAACTAATCTTGAAGGACGTGGACTGATTCTAATTTCTGGAACAAAAAGGACGACATTTCATAAATCCTTCATCACGTTCCTACAGTCCAACCAATAAAGTAACTTAGTGTTAGTCTTTGAGAATTAAAGAAAGGAACCTGGTCTGTTTTTATCAAACTCCATACTGATAACCTCTCCGTGTTTTGAGAACAGTCTCCATACTCCCTAGTCAATAAACATACAATAGAAACCAAACCACACATTATAAAATCAAACTTTTTGAATCTTGTTCAAAAACAGAAAAATGTTAAAAAATATTTTTGAGGCAGTTTTCATCAAAAAGCTCGGCGTTTTTTCAAAAATTCTTTTCTGTCCGTTTCCGTTAAATGATTTAACGTCAAAACCGCTAAACCGATTGAGCCCAAATGTTTGTGGTAACTCACATGACCCCAATTAATAGTGAAAAATGTTGCCTTCATATTTTAAAATCTATCTGTCTATCAACGTCTAAAGAAAAATGAGCGCTTTAAAAGCAATATTTACGAAGCGCTCGGAAAGCCTATTTGTATTTTCACTACGAATGTCCCTATGGCATACAAGATAATCTCATAAACTCATTTTATTAAAAAATCAACCCTCTCCCGAACCTAACAGGAATAAAAGTTGAAGGAAAATAAAGTTTATATATCCCTGCACGGTCAAAAGGTACAGTTCGGAATAAATAATAACCTTATTGGTGAGTAGGGCTGGAATATTGGAAACTATTAATGATCCAGGTTTATCTCCCTCCCTCTTCTGCTCAGCAGATTCCTCCAGTTTATCCTTCTGGTTTACCAGGGTCATGGGTCCAACAGGTTTATCTCCCTCCCTCTTCTGCTCAGCAGATTCCTCCAGTTTATCCTTCTGGTTTACCAGGGTCATGGGTCCAACAGATAGATCAGACCCTAACAAAGTCTCCATCCTGAAAATTAAACTTATTAAAACAGACTTCATTTTTATGTTTTGGGCATCCCCCCCCCCCACTACACTACAGATAGGCCTTTTGAAGACAAAGTGTAAGTATCCTCCTTTATATCTCCTTTCTTTGGTGTACATATAATGCTTTACTCCTCTATACTACTTCTGAACGACATTTAACTCGGTGTCCAACTAAGCATAACAAGTACATAAAGACGTTTTGTAAGGTTTTGCGACGTTCACTCGAGAACTTAACGAGAACGAATATCGGACATATCTTAATTTGTAAAAGAAACCAAAAGTCATAAAACAATGTAAATGTAAATTTTTAAGATGAAAAGAAGAAACTCATTATTTAATACCTTTTAATATTTATATTATTATATTTTGTCCCTCTCCTAAAGCTCGGGACAACATTAAAAAGGCTTGAACCTCAATAAAGAGAAAATTTCTGTCCGAAAACTTTATAACACTGCGAACCAAAATAACAGTGTTATAGGTAAATTTATTAAACGTTTGTGTAATTGTCTTGTTTCAATGGCTATATCTAGATAAAATACGCTTTGAAACAAAGCAGAAGCCAAAATATAAAGTTGATTTCAATTTTATTTTCATTTCAATTGAAAATAAATATTTTGGAAAAATCCAAAAATTTATGGAGGAAATCCGGGAACCAATCAAACCCTTCTAGCACAGGTGCTATAATGTACAGCTAATTTAACTTTATAGCACGATGATTACTTTATGGCACGTTCATTATGAAATTTACGATGAAGTGAGGAAGAATAAGAAAGTACAAAATAGTTTTTTAAAAAAATTATACAAATTTAGTTATCAAATAGCTAGTAATATTAAAATATCTAAATTGTATTACTAGTGGGTTCCCCCGATGGAGGCTAAATCCCCCTTAAAAACACCCCTTAGAGAGTTGCAATGCTAATAAATAAGCTGTAGAGGTTTCACAAAATTGCATATGTACATTAAAAAACTAGGGAAAAAACCTTGGCATTTTTAGGGTAGAAAATTTTAAGGAGTTTAAAGTTTTAAAAGGTTCAAATTAAGAAAAACGATTTAGCTGACAAATAAGAAACTCAAAACAGCTCTTTCTCGTCATTTGCATTTTTATGATATTTTTTAATTAACCAACCTATCTTTGTATCAGGTTATTCGAATTTGTCTGGGGAAAAATAGATAGTTAAACATATACACCGTACAAGTCTACATTCAAACAAAAATTGAGATAAATTCTATACAAAAAAAATCAATTTTGGTTCGCAACTCTTAGGGTAACAATGGCATTTAACAAATTATTATTTGTTTGCTTTTATTCTTGGATCGTTTACATTAGTTTCTTGAATTTCCTGATTTAGTATTCGTGTTACCTCGTATATTACAGATTAGATTATACGGATGCTATTTTCAACCATTTGTTAAATTAATCTGAAAATAATTATGACATTTTAAGTACTAGCTTGAGTTTACATAACAAATTCAAATTTAACACATTTAAGAAAACTAATAGTTACAAAAAAACTGTCATAGGTTAATTTCATTTGGTCAAATTTTTTATATAATAAATAACACATAAATTTGTTTACTATCAAAAAGTGTTTAATGTCTAGCATAAATTGATATTTGCAGTGTTACAGACCACTGTTAACATTTTACGTGAGAAAAGTTTTAAAACATCTAAATAAGAACCTGATTATATTGAATTGATTGACTGAAAGGAATCTTGGAACAGATTTATATGAATCATAAATGTTGGTATATGTCTCTGATCCCGATAAATAAGTCAAATTTCTCATAATGATTGACGAGAGAAACAATAAGATTACTATTTGTTTAAGTTCATCTAGCAAAATTGATTGCCCATACTAAGGAAAGATTTAATGTTTCTAATCTGGATCACACTTTACAGCTTAACTAGATAATACTGAACACGGGCTAAATTTTAATAAAAAGCAAGAAATAGTTTAATAACGTAGGCTAAGTGTAAAACCACTTCTAATAAACTTAAATCGGAACACAAGAGAAGCGGTTCAACTTATTCTACGTTGTTTAACTACTTCTTGCTATTCATTATAATTTATTCCCCTAAATAAACAGCTGAAGATTCCTCGATTCCCAGCTGAACTATGAACAGTATTAACAGCTGAGCAGCTGATCAGGATGTTACTGGAATACAGGAGAAGGCATTTTCGAACATATTTCCTCCGACCCAACTGGAGATATATGAACTATACAGATGATCGGGTTCCGCCTTATCAAAATATTCTCTCAGATTATTTTTATTACCGGTGACGGTTTCTTGAGGAATAAAAATGTTACTGATTAGTTGCCTCATACTCAAATGTTCTAATTCTTAAATTTTCACAACCTGATGATATTTCAAAATTATTAGCTTTGATGAATCAATCAGGCCAAGGTTTGAAATGAAGGTTTAAACATCAGTTTGAGAAGATATATTAGAAAATCAAGGCAAGTTCCCTTGGAATGGGAAATTTATTCAAGACTTTTTTTTAATTCATTTAAGTAAATCGTTCAGAAGTTTTTTTTGATAATTTTGAGGAAAGAAAAGTAGGTAGAGGGAGGTTAAAGCAAGACGACCTGTTTCAGAGGAGTGGCAGGCAATTGAGTTAATATCGCATTATTGTAGATAAAAATTAGAATTTGTACGTCGTTCCACAATTCAAACTTCAAAATGTAAAAAAAAATTTTTTTGTCTCAATGCCATGCAATAAGATCTTTACTTAGTTTATAATTGTTCCCTTATTTCCCTTATATTTAACAATTTCCTGATAAATATCTGAGAACATTTTCCTGTCAAGGGTTGGCAGAATGATAGCAAGTGAGAGCTTCAGAGGAACAAGGAACAGTTCCCACTTGAACGAGGTTCGGTTTGCATCTGATAATTCCATAAAGTCGCTTCCACTCACTCCAAATGATCTAAACGTTATAATAAAAAAACGAAATAAAAAACGTAAACAAAACAAAAAACCATAAAAACCGTTTTCTGCTGCAGGATAGAAAAAATCAAATGATATCTTTAAACCGGACAAGAAACTATTTATGAAGAAATAAACCTCTCCAATACTTCAGGACGAAGCATACACTTGAGAAGGGTGCCAGTCTCATCAGAAATATCAACCTTTACATCATACTGGACCAGCTCATGTCTGTCCGCAGATGTGCACCTAGAAAACAAGTTTCTCTATTTTTTTAAACAAAAATCTTTGAGGCCGGGAATTTTTTTGTCTATTTTCATTATCAACATCAACATTCCAAGCTTAAACAATTACATCTTTTTCGCTCAAAAACTCGGTTTCCATTAGTGTCTAGATTTAACCAGTTAAAATTTTATTTTTAATATTTCTCCCACATTGAGGGACAAAATGATTTTAATGTAAATACCCGTCATACTCATTATCATTAAATTAGAAAGATGACGCTTTTCAAGGTTTGGCATTAAGAAAACACATTAAGGAAGAATTGGGTAATGGTTAAATATATACAACAAACGGGTAATGAAGAATAATACATTTTTACCTAAATTTGGACCAAAAATGTTCAATTTATGTCTCTTCTACCTTGGCGGACTACCATAGTTAATTAATTTGAAGTATTTGACCTTTCTCAATTAAAAGCGAGTTTAATTATTGATGGTTCTATTTTCTATCTATTGATGTTTTGAATGCAATTCTTAAATTAAATATTAATGTTATCATCTGTTTTCATATTCTAGTTTTCCCCTTGTTGTTGTGTTTTCAAGGACTAGGTTTTCCCCTGGATGTTGTGTGTTCAAGGACTAGGTTTTCCCCTGGATGATGTGTTTTCAAGGACTAGGTTTTCCCCTGGATGATGTGTTTTCAAGGACTAGGTTTTCCCCTGGATGTTGTGTTTTCAAGGACTAGGTTTTCCCCTGGATGATGTGTTTTCGAGATCTTAATTTTCGCCTAAATTGTGTGTTTCAAGGAATAAGTTTTTGTCTTAATGTTGTATTTTAAGGACTTTGCTTTTGCCTTAATATTGTGTTTCAAAGACTTAGTTATCGCCTTGATGTTGAGTTTTCAGGGACTAGGGTTTCCCCTGGATGTTGTGTTTTTGAGAACTTAATTTTCACCGAAATTCTGTGTTTCAAGGAATTAGTTTTTGCCTTAATGATGTATTTTAAGGACTTAGCTTTCGCCTTAATATTGTGATTCTAAAGACTTAGTTTTCGCCTAGATCTTAAGTTTTAAAACTTAGTTTTCGCCTTAGTGTTGTGTTTTAAGAACTTAGTTTGTGCCTGGATGTTGTGTATGTAAGAACTTAGTTTGTGCCTGGATGTTGTGTATATAAGAACTTAGTTTGTGCCTGGATGTTGTGTATATAAGAATCTAGTTTGTGCCTGGATGTTGTGTATATAAGAACTTAGTTTTCGCCTTAGTGTTGTGTTTTAAGAACTTAGTTTGTGCCTGGATGTTGTGTAAATAAGAACTTAGTTTGTGCCTGGATGTTGTGTAAATAAGAATCTAGTTTGTACCTGGATGTTGTGTATATAAGAATCTAGTTTGTACCAGGATGTTGTGTTTATAAGAATCTAGTTTGTACCTGGATGTTGTGTATATAAGAATCTAGTTTGTACCTGGATGTTGTGTATATAAGAACTTAGTTTTTGCCTGGATGTTGTGTAAATAAGAACTTAGTTTGTGCCTGGATGTTGTGTATATAAGAACTTAGTTTGTACCTGGATATTGTGTAAATAAGAACTTAGTTTGTGCCTGGATGTTGTGTTTATAAGAATCTAGTTTGTGCCTGGATGTTGTGTATATAAGAATCTTAGTTTGTGCCTGGATGTTGTGTATATAAGAACTTAGTTTGTACCTGGATGTTGTGTATATAAGAACTTAGTTTGTGCCTGGATATTGTGTATATAAGAATCTAGTTTGTGCCTGGATGTTAATATTGGTACAGCAGAATATTATCTTACCTGTATTCTTTACAGTATATTGGTACAGCAGATATTATCTTACCTGTATTCTTTACAGTATATTGGTACAGCAGAATATTATCTTATCTGTACTCTTTACAGTCTATATTGGTACAGCAGAATATTATCTCACCTGTACTCTTTACAGTCTATATTGGTACAGTAGAATATTATCTTACCTGTACTCTTTACAGTCTATATTGGTACAGAAGAATACTATCTTACCTGTATTCTTTACAGTATATTGGTACAGCAGAATATTATCTTACCTGTACTCTTTACAGTCTATATTGGTACAGTAGAATATTATCTTATCTGTATTCTTTACAGTATATTGGTACAGCAGAATATTATCTCACCTGTACTCTTTACAGTCTATGTTGGTACAGGAGAATATTATCTCACCTGTACTCTTTACAGTCTATATTGGTACAGTAGAATATTATCTTACCTGTACTCTTTACAGTCTATATTGGTACAGTAGAATATTATCTTACCTGTACTCGTTACAGTCTATATTGGTACAGCAGAATATTAGCTCACCTGTACTCTTTACAGTCTATATTGGTACAGAAGAATATTATCTTACCTGTACTCTCTACAGTCTATATTGGTACAGCAGAATATTATCTCACCTGTACTCTTTACAGTCTATATTGGTACAGAAGAATATAATCACACCTGTATTCTTTACAGTCCATAATGGTACAACAGAAAATGATCACACCTGTACTCTTTACAGTCTATATTGGTACAGCAGAATATAATCTTACCTGTACTCTCTACAGTCTATATTGGTACAGCAGAAAATTATCTTACCTGTACTCTTTACAATCTATATTGGTACAGCAGGGATGTCCTGTTCCCTCATCTGGTCTGTACGGCATTGTACAGCATCCACATCTAGATGTGGTTGGAACCTGCAATGAGCCTTGAATTACAAATTACAGATGATGTAATCTATTTAAATTCTGACTAAGTTAGTAATTGAGTATGATATTTATTTAGGACTGGGATTCTTGGAGTTTGGTCTCTGTAAAGTTAATCGGTTTTGTGGCCTGATATAATAAGATAAATGCTTTTGGATATTTTTAAAATTCAACTGATCTTTATAAGCCTGCTTTTGGTCGATGATAGATTGCAGAATTAGAAGTATGCTATTTTCCACAGATTAAGCACTTAATCTCAAAATTCTTTTTAAGTCCAACTTATCAAAAAGAATTTGAAGATAAGATAATTTGAATTTTCGGCAAAGTTTTAGATCCTTACGCTAATATATATGGGTAGAATTATCATCTTGCAATCAAAGGAAAGATAGGTTGAACCTCATTAAACTTTTCGATTTAAAGCTGAACCAGTATTTATCTCACACTTTTTAAAGTTCAGAAATTTTCAGTTTCCTCTGTACTGCCTGCATTGGCGCTGCAAAAAAATCGGTGCTAATATAAGTACTGCCAAATTATTTGTAAAATATAGCTTTTTCACAGGAGGAGAAAATCAGGAGAAGAGAGGATCTGGAGCATGAGAGGATAAGAAGAGAAGACAGGAATGGGAAGAAAGGATGGGCAGGAGGAAGGATTGGGAGGAAATGTTCCAAAGGAAATGCTGAATGAAAGAAGACAGGATTAAGAAAGAAGATAAGATGGATCATAAGGAGAGGATTTTGAGGAATGGATCAGGAAGAGGAAAGATCATCATTCATCAAGGGGAAAAGATCAGGAGAAAAGTGGATTAGAAGGAAAGTGGATTGGGAGGTAAGAGGATTGGAAGAGAGTTACCTGAGGAGAAGGGATCGAAAGCAAAAATGATCAGAAAACAAAACAACTTAAATTATATAATTCATGCTTATCATATTAATACTTTCAGTAGTAAAATAAACTATTATATTATACTATATATTAGGAGGAAAAAGGATCCAGAGGAAATATAGAATCAGTAAATTAAAAAGATGGCAAGTTCAGAACAAAGTTGTTGACAACTTAATAATCCTTTTATAAAATAACTCAAGATCTTCTAGGCTGAAAAGGAACAAATTTGTGGGTTTACATTTACTCTGTCGCAGCTCTAGCAGTATCCAGATAATAAAATACTAAATTTATAGAAGATAAAACACAAGTTAGTTTTGCTCTATCATGACAACTTTAACAATAATAACAGAACCTTCCTTTCACAAACATTCTTCTGATTTTGGTAAAAGACAAACTCGTATTTTTAGCAAGGTTGGATTATCATCCAAACAGACGAACGAACTAATAATTAAACAGAAATGTATATTCCCAACGTTCTATCAATATTCAAGAACTAACATAATGTTAATAACAGAGAGAAAAGATACCTGAGCCTGGTCTATGTCTAGCATGGTGATATATCCATAAAGGTTGGTGAGAAGCATTCCCTCCTTGTCCTGGTAAACCTTGTTCAACTCATCCATCAGGGAGAACACATTGTGAACCTTATAGAATTAATAACAGATCCAAATGAAAAGAAAAATGACGAAAAAAAATGTTTGGATAATTTTTAATTAAGTTTTTCTTGAAAAAAATGTGTACTCTTAGTTTTAAAAAGTTGAAGTTGGCCTGTATTAATTTGAAGTGGACTAGTTTTATCAGGGACTATTCAATGAATAGTTTAACTTAATCTACATAGTTTAACCACTTCTCCTAATCATTACATCTGGTCGCTGATTTGAGTACCTGACTGATGGTTGATGGATTGATATTTGCAACAAGAGCATCCATTCTTGAATAGGACGAAAAGTCAGCAGTTTGACAATGGTTTGCTAGAATCTTGGCTTCTCCTAAACTAGGAACAATTCAGGTGTGTTTTTATAATTAGGGTGTTCATACGGACGCTACCCGGATTCAAATATAGAGAAGAAGAAAACTGCCTCTATTTATGATGGGAAAGCTACATTTCTTGAAGTTATTTGTTGGGCTAGTATTCTAATTTAGTTAATAATTGTAAAATGTTAATGTTGAATGATAGTTGCAGAGAAATATCTTTATTTTGAGTGAAAAATTTATGCATTTAATACCCTGTGCAGTGTGCAGTTTCAAGAAAACTTTTTGCAAAGTTTTCCCAGAGTTTTAATAATAAAAACTTAACATTTTGCACTTAGGCAGACCAGCCCTATCTTAAACATTTAAAATTTTTCCCACAAGATGATATACATATTGGAATTTTAACATACTTCATGGCCTTTCCAGGGGGGGGGGGGTATACATTATTGATATTACTGTTATTAAATTTTCTCCTTTTATTTTAATTGTGGTATTAAGAGTTGTATTTGTTTCGCACTAGAATCTATTCTTTGTTTGCGATTGATCAAGTTCCTATTTCCGGATTCTGAGTAATGATAGTTTTTCCGGTGCAGGACACAGAGTTACATCCTCTCCACTCATCAAAACTAAATATAACATGCTTTACAACCAGTAATATATATAAATAAATAAATACAGGGGTACAAAGTTTCAATAATCCCCCCCCAGGTAGTGAAGAAAAGGTTTGCGGTTCTTTATAAATGAAAAATAGAAAGTCAACTTGCAGACTTAACCAACTTTTTTTTCTACACCCCCAGTGTAAGAAAAAGTATTATATCATATCTGTTCGGTTCCATAGTAGTAAAGCTATCGTGTAAGAATTCCCATTATTACACGGTTCAGGAGGAACAATTTTAATATTGTTCGCTTCCTTGCGTTTAAGAATGCTTATTCTTACACTGTAGGTGTAGAATTTTCATTCTTTAACGCTCAGACCGTGTAAGAATGGAAAATATTACATGGCCAGAGCGTGAAAGAATGTATATTCTTACACGCTCCGAGCATTAAAGAATGGAAATTATTACACTTGTTGAAGAATATTCATTCTTACACGCTCTTTATATTGATCATTTCAACATAGATCAATATTGATATTAACTTAATTATTTTGTACTGACAACCTGCACAGGGCAAACTCACCTTTTTCTTTTACATTAATACATGCAAACTTACCTTTTATATTAAAAAATAACATGCTCACTTACCTTTTTCTTTAATATTAAAACATGAAAACTTACCTTTTTTTACTTAAGTAAAACATGCTCACTTACCTTTTCATGCTCACTTACCTTTTTCGTATTTTGAAGTATTGATATATCTTAATTCAGGAATTTCCATTTAAATCTTTACCTTAGTTCTGAGAGAAGAGTGGAACCCCCTGTGATTTATTAACTTTTTCTGACATTTCCAAAAACAATTAACTATGAGCTTTAAACTTTAAGTCTTCCATTGGACATTTTCATCGAACTACAGAGTCTCAAAGCATACTGCCTGACCGCCTACTTTATTCAATTTTATTTTAGTTTTTTTTTCATTCCAAATCAAGTTTGATGCGATTTTGCAAATCTCTGCATATTTGTAATAGTACGGTCAGAGCTTTTCAAAAATAGAAAGGTTTGTCATGTCTTCACAATTTTAATTAATTGGTTTTTTTTTACTTTATTATAAAGTTTTAAAAGTACCTCAGCCTGAGTCAGCAGTCACAATATCTCGCATAGCTTGAGATGATACACAATTAAAACCAGAAAAAGTTTATAGTTTATAAAAACTTATCATTGAAATACAAGTGTCACAAAAACTTTTAGTGGGGTCTTAGCACTCCATATCAATGAAAACAAACCAGTAAATCTTGCTTCATGAATAAAAGACAAAGATCTTCACCAGTTCATGTCGAACTGATTACTAGATAACCTGATTTAATCTCCTCTTTTTGGAAGATTTAGGATCTAATATCCAGAAAATGATTTCTTCTGTAAATGATTTCAAGATTTTGTTCAGTAGATTAAGACAACCCAATACAATACCTTCTCTACATCTTAAAAAACTCAGAGCACATTCAACATGCTGTATTTAAATGTAGTATCAACTTGAAAAAGAAGCAAGTTCATTAGAAATTGGTAAACAAACAAACTAAACAAAGGAAACAATCACACCACATGCATTACTTTCAAATTAAAAACAAATTTTTACTTATAAAATGGGATTTTAACATTTTAACATTAGAAAATAAAAAACAGTGATAGTCAGAACAAGAGCATAACACTTATTTGCAACCTTTCATAATGTTAACTATTCCTCCTTGAAATAGTCGGATTTCACCAGAATTATCTTTTATTATAATTTCTTGGGTATGTGCCCATGGAACCTCACAAATATGATATAATAATAATCTTATGAGGATAAAAATGTAATAATGGAATTCTTAAACTCGATGAAATAATCTTGATGCATTCTTTAACTCAGGCCTGCGGCCTTCGTTAAAGAATACATCAAGATTATTTCAGCTCGTTCAAGAGTTTCCATTATTACATTTTATTCCTCATAAGATTATCATATTCTTAAACGCTAGGAAGTGAACAATATTGGACAATTTTTCTCCTGAACCACTATGGAACCGAACAAATATGATAAAATATTAAATATCATGCATGCTTAAAAAATGTCCCTGAAAAGTTGACCCTCTATAAAAACAAATAAAATGCTTGTCTTTACCTGACTTTGATGTCTGCCAAGAAAAGAATTGTTTCTCTTGGAATCCAGGAATCTGATAAACCGATAAGATTCATATCCCAAACCTAGGTTGAGATATAGAGTTCAGAAACATGCAGATTGTCCCAAAAATTGATGAAAAACTGGTTCAAAGGCTCCATTGTAACCATTTTTTTAAATGTTGACATAAAATTCCTGATAAAATGAGAGTTCCACTTCCACTTTGATTTGATTAACAGCTTTTTCATTCTTTGTACCAAAAATTAAAAAAAAAACTTGTACTAGTTACTTTTGTTAATGGTTTTGATAATTTTTTAAGTGGAATCCTAAATCTGGAAAAAAAGATTCAAGCTGGCTCAGCACCTCTTTTTTAAACTTTACTGGTTTTATCCATATCCCTGTTGATAGATATTATATTCAAGGACATTTTACTGCAGCAGTAGAAATTTTTCACAAAATCTTTAAAAAATCTAAATTCACAAAAGTATTTTGATACATTATGTAATTTAAATTTGAAATCCTTGAAAAATTAACTAAATCACAAAAACTACATTAATTGTCAACAATATTTCTAAATAACTCTACTGGTCATGTTTTAGAATTTATATTAACATTATATCAAGGTTTGATAATTAAATAAATGCATTTTATGTTGATGGTTTGCAACCCTACCTTCATCACTATGCAGGGAGCTGTTAGATCAAACAGTTTCACATCTCTGCAATAGAAAGGTATGCAGTAGAACTTTATAGCTGTCGTAAATTTAACAATTTTCATTCAGAGACAAAATTATCTACATTAAAAGAGGATTCTATACTTAAATAAAATATGTATATTTGTGCAACACAGGCTATTTTTACAAACCTCACTTTCCTTTCCTCTCCATCTCTCCCCTAGAAATTAAAAATGTTAAGATTTTTCATTAAATTAGTTTATACACAGTTAGCACTTTTAATTAATTTGAAAATTTGGTTCAGAGATTATTTATACCTTGAATATTTTTACAGGACCAACACTTCTTACAGCAACACAGAGATCTACATTTCTCCCAACTTTCAATTTTGTCATTTAATTAACGACGATATCTTAGGCTAAGTTTTTAAATGCCAATTTTACTATTTTCTACATTTTAAAAAATTTCTTACTAGCTATTAGCTAACCTTGATTTTTTTTACCTTTTAATCTGCCAGTTCATAAATATTATGATTCTATTAATGTTCTTATACTTCAATAAAAATAGCTAAAATATTACTTTAATATTAAACGACTTGACCTAGTTTCTTGCACTCAAGTATATCACTGATACTGAAATATCCTGCTGAGGGTTTGGTTGGAATGGAAAGAAGACTTTGAAACCTACTCCAGTCTCCCAAATGCTCAGTGATAATAGTTTTACCTTAAATTAAATTGTTCATTAATTGAAAGAGATGAATGAGATTAGTTATCTAATTAGGAATTAATAGAATATTTAATTGTATAAGTTTAAATCATTGACATCCTTCCATTATTTATCCTGTTTGATACAGACAAGTTTCTTAAACACAACATTGAGTAGAAAAAATGGGAATCGACAAAAAGAAGGGAAGGAAAAGGATTAAATTAGTTCCAAGGGTTTGTGGGAAAATAAACTTTTCTTATGTTGAATGCCGTCACACAGTCTAATTATAATTATATATAATGTATTGTTTATTTAGTCTAGTTATTTGCCCTTGTAGTCTGCAGACAATATTTACTATACAATTTATGCTTAGTAGTCTGATAAAACAAGAAAATATATAATTGGGGGGATTTAAAACTTTTATAAATATCAAGATTAAAAATCAAATGCCATAGGGCGCCATGAGGTAGAGAGATATTTGGCCCGAAATTATACCAAAACAAATTTTCATTCAAGCCTTTAGAAATATAAATTGTGAAAGAAAAGAAAATTATGAAAGGATGCTTACTGGAAGTAAGTATGTGGATTCAAAAAGCTGAAAAAGTGGTCCAATATGAATATTATTATGAACCCAGTTTACCTTCAATATTTCCAAGTTGAAAAGGGCTGGTAGCTACTGGAGAATATTTCTCCTGGTCGGACCCAAAGTCACGGTTTATTACTCTATAAATCAAAAGTAACATATGTTTAACTGATCGTATGAATTGTGTTGTCGACATAAATTGAGATTTGAGGAGTTTACCTTGGTTTTATAAGATCAATGATGGATCCTATCTTGAACTTCTCCTGATACTCATCTGCCTCCTCCCTGACAAACCAAACCGTCCTCAGGTATATTTTTACCTAACCAACAGGGTCTTTAATTATCCCTAGATCAGTTAGAAACAGGAAAGAACCTTGGAAAGCATTTAAAAAAAATTATGTCTGTTCTGTTTTCTCTAATCTTAGTACAGTTTCGATTTTGGGCCAGAATTGAGTACAGTTTTGATTTCAAGTCAGAGTTGAGTAGTTTTAATTTCAAATTAAGGAAAGTTCAGTTTTGATTTAAAATTAAGGAAAGTTCAGTTTTGATTTCAAATTAAGGAAAGTTCAATTTTGATTTCAAATTAAGGAAAGTTCAGTTTTGATTTCAAATTAAGGAAAGTTCAGTTTTGATTTCAAATTAATGTTGTTTACAGTTTGATTTCAAATAAATGTTGAGTATAATTTTGATTTTAAGTCAAGGTTGAGTTCATTTTTTGTTTCTATGCAGAAACTGCAGGTTTCTGGCATTCTTTGATCTATATTTAATGAATACTTCAAGTTGAGCAGGCAGCCTTGCTGTTTACTTTAATTAGAGTTCTCAAGGGAACATTTATTATTTTCTGACACTTTATGAAAAACTTAACAGGGGGGTCAATATCCCATTATAAACATATCATTTATCAAATCTTAGAAACTATGGATACTACAGAATATTTCGGTACAACAGGATTTTATGCAAAGAATGTCATATATATCTTTGTTTTATAAATTTGCTGACTGAAAAAGTTAAAACAACTTATTTAAAAGTAAAATTGATTTTCAGAACTTAAAGATAGCTCTCTAGAATCGAGATATGCACATCCTTCACAGAAACCCCCCCCCCCCCGCACCTTCCCTCCTCTTTTCCAATCTATTTTTGCTCTTGCCTTTCAAACCAAAAATTAGAGCTTTTAAATTATCAACTTCTTATTCACGAGTATAATTGATATTTCTAAACTTAATGACAGCTCCTAGTATCTAGATATGCACCCCCCCCCCCCTTCTCCCCTTTTCTCCTCTTTTCCAATCTATCCTTGCTAGTAGAGCTTTTAAATTAATTCTGTGTAGTACATAGAAGAGACTTTTTATAAAACTCGACAATTTACTTTTTTTGAGAGTAATGTTTATGTTCCAGGCTAGGAAAGGAAGAGAAGGCAATAAAAAGGATTAAATGTATTTATACAAACCTCTGGAGGTATGATTTGTGTTCTCCAGGGCAGGGAAAAGATGGAATTGGACTGGATGGAAAAATAAAGGGGGTGGTTTGAGAAAAAGGTGGTTGATGAAGATATAAAGGGGGTGGATGGGGAAAAAAATAAAAATTGAACACCCAAAAGCAAGTTTTTACATACTTTTTTATGTTATACCAAAAAATATTTTTTTACCCCCATTAACCCATTAAACCCTTTAAAAAATGTTTCGCTGCTGAAGAAAATATTAACACCCCTGGGGGAAAAATAAAGTGGTGTATGGTGAAATAAAGGGTGGATGAGGACATTAAAAGACTGGATAGGGAAATAAAAAGGGTTGTTTGGGAAAATAAAGCAGGTGGATAGGGCAACAGTGGATTAAATATTATGGGGTATATTACTCAAGTAAGGATTAAAGGCAGGGAGCGGGGCTAGGGATAATAAAGAGATTGCAGGCTGATGGGGTAGGAAAATGAAAGAAAGGACTGAGAACTTGAAACTATTGAATGATGTGCCTTTCATAAATTAAAATAATTTTTTTTAAGTCATGCAATGCGGTTATAAATCTTTGATATATTTTAGACAGAAATAAGAGAATTAAATTAGGTTTGATTCCTTGAAGTCCATAGAGTTAAGTTTATAATATCAGAGGGAGAATCTCTCAGCGTGAAACTAGAAACGAACCTCTCTCCTCCATCCTTCCTCATCACCACCCGTCTAAAACCGTGAAGGATGAAGATTGAAACCTTGGGGAAATGCTAATAGAAATATTGTGTTACAAATACACACAAAAAATAAACATACAAAAAAATGCATTTATAAAATTTGGTGTCGTCAGAAAGCTAAGGTTGCTAAGAATTTGCTTCTTAAAGCTGTTTATTGTTTTCAGAAAAAAAAACAATGAAACGCCATTTGTTATTGACCCCTCAAAGCTGAAAGCAGAATTACCTTGGCTCGGTTTTACCGATGATTAGAGCAACTATCAGAACGCCCTAAATCAGTACCTTGTGTTATGTGAAGAAATTAATGCCATATAAGGGTAACTAAACAAAACAAAGATCTTTAAATAATTTTTAAGAATATTGGTTGAGGATTTAAATTTTCCCGAGTAAATTAGAAAATTGGAAATTCAAGCTCTTTAAGAACATAATATTTGAGGCTGTGTTTACGAAACATGAAATAAAAGCAAAAATTTTGAAATCAGTGATTAGGATCGTTGAGTACATACTCGCACCCCCCCCCCCTCGGCTCCCCTTTATATCCAAAGGGGGGGGGGGCAAAAAAAGACAAATTAAAAAGATGCGAAAGAAAATGGGAAAAAAGTTTAAAAGGGTTTCTTGACCCCAAAATCTACAAAATTGAGAAGTATTATGGGATATTATTTTTTTAGCCATCCTTAACAAAAATATCATGTGAGGCAGAAAGTTGTTTTTAAAAGACAGTTCAAATTCATTTCATGTACAGTGATATCCAGAAAACTCTGGCTTTGATGTCGTCTCCAGCTGTTCCAGATTTCTGATTTTCTCTGTACTCAAAATTTCTTTCACCTTACTGGTCTGTTGAAGAGCTCCAATAAGCGTTCTTTTAACAATTTCTCCGCTTCCTCCAACAGATACTTCGCTAGTCGACATTTTCTAAACCTGACACTCTAAGATAGTGTTCTTAATTTAGTTCACACCTTACAATCATTCAAAACTAACTTAATCACTTATTAATTTTACAAGGAAGTCTGATATTTTACGACGTAAATTAATTTACAGTAGGAGAAGTAAGTTTGACTACAGTAACCAAAACACTTTTCAACTTAATTTACTACACATTAATTTCCCCCCCGGTTTTTTTAACCCCAAGTAAAAATATGTTAATTTGATTGCAATGGATATGGGTCGCAATTAGAGATCCGCCTTAAATACATACATATAAGTACGTAGAGTCAAGAACAAACACGAAAAATTCGGAATC